AACATCACTGATTTCACCGGGCAGTGTCAGGGACAGCTAAAGGTGTCTGTGTCTCCTCTGAGGGCAGTACATGACCTCCGGGCACAGAGACAGACGGCCCACGAGACTGTTGCTCCAGACTCGAGTGTAAGCCATTAATGGATTTTGTTTTCTCTTTCTGATTTGGTGCTCAGGAACCAGTTGTTGTTATCAATGTTAAACAGTTTTGTGCTAATTAATAGCTTTTTGGAAACTGTGAAACTCTACCATTCAAAAGTTTGGGTAAAGAAATTAATACTTTTAGTCAGCAAGGATGCATTAAATTGATTCAAATGACAGTAAGACATTTACAATGTTATAAAAGATTTCCATTTCAAATAAATGCTGTTCTTTTGAATGTTCTATTTATCAGAGAATCCTGAAAAATGTATCACAGTGTCCACAAATATATTAAGCAGGCCAAACTTTTTTCAACATTTATAAAAATGAGAACGTTTATTAATTAATGGACATCAAAAAATAATTTATCATAACAGAGCAGCAAATCAGCATATTAGAATGATTTCTGAAGGATCATGTGACACTGAAGACTGCAGTAATGATGCTGAAAATTCAACTTTTTATTTCCTTCACAGGAATCTATTATATATTAAAATATATTAAGAAATAGAAATTGAAAAAAATAGTTCAATGTTTTTACTGTATCAAATAAATTCAGCCTTGGTGAGCATAAAATACTTCTTTCAAGAACATAAATGCTTTATTATTACAGACTTTTAAAAATAAATAACATGTTTTTCCAGCTGAAAATGTTAATACGGCTGTCACACATGATGATGATTATGTCTTTTGCAGGCCCTCTTTAGTGCACTTCCATTCTGCTATCAAACAACAGCTACGTACCACAGCTTCCCCAGCCACATTAGTCGATTCTCTGAACAGAGGATCAACACACCTCCTGATCAGTTTGAAAGACTGCTTTCTGACAGGTATTTCTTTTGGGAAAATGGTATAGAATCTGCCTTATCAGATTTACTTTCTGAAATAATACCTATGGGCATGTTTTGTAAGATCCAGTGTGACAGATCGCCACGAGGAGCACATGGACAACGTAAGAATGTTCCATCAGACTTTGCATGAGGGTGAGAAAGCATCTGGCTCCTTCTTGGCAGGAGATCCCCACCCATCTAGTTCAACACTCTTCTCTGCCCTCAGGTAGCCCTCACACTGTCCTCCGCTTCCTAGCTGAAAGGTCAAGATGTCACATCAAACAATTAGAGTCCAAATGAAGTACAAATATCGGTTTACATGCTCATCACATGTATTCCAAATAACATTCAAAGACTGGCATTTAATGTCAGTGAAACCATGTCATGAGTAATAGTAAAGACATTGTTACAAATGATTTCTATTTTAAAACATTGTTCTCATCAAATAATCCTGAAAACAGTTACTACATAATAGTAAGAATAAGAAATGTTTCTAAATCGGCATGTTAGAAAGATTTCTGAAGGCTCATGTGACACTGAAGACTGGAGTAATGATGCTAAAAAAATTAGCTTTGCATCAGGAATAAATTCCACTTTAAAATATATTAACAGAAAACAGTACTTTTAAATTGTAATAATATTTCACAATAACAGTTTCCTTTATCAAATTAATGCAGCATTGTTGAGTCTGAAATGAGACATTTAAAAATCTTCTGGACCCAAACCTTTTGGACGGTAGTGTATTTTACAGTCCAGCTGTCAGATTCTTGAAAGATGAAAACAAAACTGGTCCAGAAGCACTTCCTGTTTCAGTTTTTTAACACTACTTAAAAGCTGGGATAAAATACAACCAACAGAACATATAAAACTGAATCAAAAAGTTAAACAAACATCTTTAAGATTTTTTCTTTACATGTGAAATAAAGAAAACAGTTACAAACTGAAACAGGAAGTGTTTCTGGACCAGTGTTGTTTACATCTTACTTCATTCCAATTCGTCTGTCATTTTGATGACTAATGAAACGTGTGTTGCGCTTTAAGGAAAAACCTCAGCGAGTTAGATGATATTCAGAGATATTTCAGCCGGAAGTTGTCCACTCCAACATTCCCAAAGCTGAGTGAGCTGAGAGGAACCTCCAGGCAGGAAGAGCACAGAGACTCAGAGACTGACACCACACAACTCCTACTGAAGTCCAGTCAGCTGGTGGGAGAGGTCAATGACATCATTAAAGGTGAGTTGTTCTCTGTTTGTGTGATTCATGTTTATTTAGGGGCATTTTTTAATTCAGTATTTATTTATTTTAAATCAGGCTTAAGTGAACACCAGACGGAAGAAGCACCAGCTACCCATGAAAGATCCACCACTCCTGATGCGGTTGATGAGCATGTAACCTATGGGGTTGATCAGGTGATATTATCAGAGTCTGACAGTTGTGAGACAGAGCCCCGCTTTCATAAAGACTCAGACATGATGTTGGAGGATCAAGATGAAGTCTCGCCCATTAGCTTTCCTGCTCATGCAGAGATCAGACAGTCACCAGCTGCTCCTGAAGATCAAAAGCTCCATCACAGCTCCAGCAATCTCTCATCTGATGAAGAAGAGGATAAAGACGAGGATGAGCATGAAGAATTTGAGGAGACTTTAATACAGCCCAGAACACTCAATGAGGTCACTTCAGTCACAGACAAAACCAGTCCCTGGACCAGCCTGCTGTCTGACCCAGATATGGGATCTCTGGAGAGTCTGGAGTTACTGCAGCATCACGTTCATGACGACACCGTCCACTCTCGAGGAGAGGAAAGAGACAGCAGAGAACTTGTTCCAGACGTTAACCCGCAGTCACTGATTGCAGAATCTCAAGGTATTGTTTCTGACTCCAATATCTGTGAAACTGATCTGGATACATTTAGGAGTGAAAGCGCGATTGCCACCGATCACTGGGAACAGCAGCCTTCTCCAAATGGAGACGGTGCTCTTTGTAGCATTAGTGAGGTTGAAGATTATGACCTAAGTAACAGTGGGCCTGAAGAAAGGGATGAGAAACAGAACTCGCCTCCCTCTACAGAGTCTGGTTCAGAAACGGATGATAAAAGTGTTGAGAGGAGAACAAAACCGTATCCTTCCAAGCTTTATATGACTCAAAACAGCATTTTAAAGATATATATTTGACATGCTGTTGACTACTTCAGAAAAATGTCATCATATGCCTCCGTTTGTAAAAAAAACAAAACAGTTGCTTTGACACTTGCCCCATTGACTTCCATTGTAAGTGAATTTACAATTGAAGTCTATGGGGAGTGTTCAAAAAAAGCTGACATAGACGGGGAATATCCTTCAAACTTCTGTTTTTATTATACGATATCTTGGTTATTTTGGGCTAAACCCCTCATTGCAGTTCTGAATCTGTTGAGATTCCAAATTTCTTCCTGTCTACGCACCATCTGGAGGCGTCCATGAGGGCTTTGAGGATGGCACCTGTCTTTCCATCAGCAACAACTGAATCTGTGAGTACAATAAAGCTTCAAAACAAGTTTCTATAAAGCTACTGCTACCGTTTGGTAAAAGACTATATTATAGATAAAACAACACTTTTTCAGATTTAATGAATGCACTTAAGATACTTTAGTTCATGCATTTGGTTGTCTTTGTTGTGATTTTTATTTTATTTTATTTTTTCTTTATCATAGTTTTCTGTTATGGATCTGACAGAGAATATAAGTGTGAAGATTAGCCCCAGGACAATGTTATTCTAGCTTTTTATAAGTTAGAGCTTCAACTTAAACATTTCTAGGTGTCATTTATTTGAAGTTTTTTTAACTATTTATTTTATTTTAGCTTTATTTCAATTAACAGAAATTTGTTTAATAGTTTTAGGTTTAGTTAATGATATTAATCTGGTGACCCGGGATGTTTTTTTTTTTTTTAGTCTGTCCATTCACCCATTCATCTGATCTCTTGTTCATATACAGTACATTCCATCTGTACCTTTACAAAAACTTTTTGGGGTCATCCTAGCCATCAGTCAGTAGATATGAGTGAATACATTTTCAAATGTGGTCCAAAATGACTAACTTTTATATGTGAATACAATCTCCAAAAATAGTTGTTGTTTTTTTTTTGTTTTTTTTTAAAGCTGTCCTGATTTGGTTATTCAAAATTGTTTCTTTTAGGAGACTTTAAATCCTGTAAATATATATCGAAGAATGCCTCGATCAAGACCCAGCGTCCCTCCATCACAGAGGAGTGAAGAGACCAAAAGAATTGCAAAAATATTTGCTTCAAATTTTACTGAAGGAAGTTAGTACATTCTTCTGAATTATGGGCGCTTGTTTTTAATTTGTAAATTTTTGATGCTTATTTATTTCGTACGTAATGCAATGTGGCTTTCTAACAGGGATTTTGGATAATGTAAGCATTAAAAAAGTGGTTTATTTACAGTAATATACTATTTTTGTAATAAATAATTTTGTATTTCCATACACGGGTGATTGTTTTTAAAGGTCCCGTTCTCGCTGTTTAGTTTTACGTTGTCAGTTGTCCGTGGCAGGTAAAGGCTGTCAGACGGAGCTGCTCAAAGGCTTGAAGCATTTAGCTGACAGATGAGAAAATTGCCCAATTTGAGCTGCGGCAGACAATAGCACATACTGACAGTGATGTAACCAAAGTATTATCCAGAGACAAAAGAAGCCAACGGTCAGACAAAAGCCTCTCTTTAACCTCTCAGCCTGTTTAATAAGCCCTAATTAGAGAGATGAGTCTGATCAAGGAACTGGATCTCATGCTGACCTTCTTTTAAACCAGATGAATCAATTGACAGACTCGAAGCCATAGAGAATGGCAGACTGGCTAAAAATAATAGTTGAGAACTATTAACCATACCAGTTATTAACAATTTTACTACCTACCTAGTGTGAATCCTAAATACTTATTTATTTAAACTGTTAATTTACTTATATGTTTTGTTTTTTTACTAATATGTAAAAATGTATATTTACAGACCAGGCCAGTCATTGACTTTAAATTAAATGATGACCAATGAGACGCATTTCTGAAATGAAACAGACATTAATTTTACTCCAAATTCACAAAACTGTATTGTTTTTTATAGAGTTCCCAGATCACTACAGCTTTACTAGGGCTTCTGGTGAATGTTAGGTTGAATCTTGTCAAGTGGCTGTAAAGCAGCATGTCTTTGTGGCCATCGGTGAGTCTCGGGGCACTTACAAAAACCTTGTTTATGGCTCGGTTCATTTTTGGATATGAAAGTCGAGCATATATCGATACAGCCATGATGCTTTAGAGGAGGAAGATATGATGTCGGAGATAAATGCGGATACTGGAAACCAGGCAGTAAGAGAACCGGATAGATGCCACTGAAAACATTGATCATGGTCGGTGAGTCCTTGGAGTCTGGATGATACCCAAGACGGGAAAAATCAACATCTTGATTGTACATTTGTCCCTGTAGGATGAGGTTCTGGATCTTCTCGGCTTGAATAAAATGTCGATGGCATAACGTCTGAGAGTTTTGAAGTGTCTCCACAAAATCTGTCAGCAGAAGTTTTCCTTCTGTGAATTTTAGCCAGAGATTCTGAAGAGTGGAAGACAAATCTCAATCAAGCTTTGAAATGATAGATGAATGATGAAAAGTCTTTTAAATCTGAATGATTTCATGAATCATATCTCAGATGTACCTCAGATCGACTCAAGGAATGATCGGTCTTCTCTTTAAGAAGCTTATGAATCGCTCTAAGGCTGAGTTTCTGTTGTAAAGTTTCTGCTTGTGGCACAAGAAGCATCACATCAGTTATACAGTTGGATAAAACTGTCATATTACAAGCATAACCTCATCACACAGAAAACTTACCCAGCTTTCTCTCTTTGCATCGCATTGAAGACACCATTTGACCGAGAATCTGGTACTTTTCAGCTAAGAGAATTTTAGATTTGTTCAGATGCGGCTGGTGCGCTAAATTCTGCTCTGCGAGCCAACAGTTGGATGCCATCAAGATCACTTTACACCTCTGAAGATGCTGTAACTGCAGGCAAGTCCTTCAGATCAACCAAGTCAAGTACAATGTACAATTTTTTTTTTTTTTTTTTGGGGGGGTGGATTATTTCATTAATGTCATATAAATAAATTACTATATAATGTTATTATTAGTTTATAAAATCACCCCCCCCCCCTAAAAAAAAAAACAGATTCTGCATTTTTGACTGAGTACTTGTTTGGTACCTTTGAATTGATCCTGACAGTTTCTCGCATTCTTTCCTCATCTTCCAGGAGCTCCAGAAGCTGAGCAGTGTTCAAACACTTGAGATAGTCCAAATTTAACATTAGATTCCCTTCATGAGGCATTGCAGCCCATATATAAAGATACTGCCTCACACCCAGGACTTGAGCTACTGATGCTCTGAGGTCATGGTGCGATTGTACATCTTGTAACATGATCACAAGCTCCGGAGGGATTTCTGAGCTTTCACTGGAGCCAACATTTACCAGCACAGAACTACACATTCTTACACACTTTAGAAATGTAGGTGAGGCCATGCACAAAAACATAAATCAAGACTTCTGTGGGCATTCAGCACCTTGGACAGCTCTAGACTATTTTAAAAAAAAAAAACCTTGGAAAAAGTTTTAAAAATATTACTTGTATTATTTGTCTTTGACTTTTTAGATATGAGTTATTCTATGAAATGTGTAATCACCCACATCCACATTTACTTTCTGTTATGTTTGATAGATTTTTTTATCGTCATTTATTCGAAACCAAGATAACTCGTATCTAAACAGTAGAATATTTATGTATGTATTTAAGCGTTTCCAAATTCCCTTTGCTATGTTAGCAAATGTGCACATTTTATTGGAAAAAATATAAAATATAACCATTTCTAACCCTACATTGAAATGGATTATGGTAAAGCCTGTTTCCATTTATTTTCCTCTAATTTAGATATAAACAAAACTCATAATGACATCATCCTTTCAAGAAGTAAACACTGCGTGTTTCCTCTTTGTGGCATTTTTTATTTAATTTTTTGCTATTTATTCCAAAAAAGTATGACAATAAATTGTCGCCCTCTTACGGTGATTTTCTCTATAAACAATCTAAATAGTTATTTTAAAGCCCAATTCCTAATAAGACCACAATGTAATAATGGCCAAATGAATTCTAAAACTGGTTATCGTCAACCCTGTTACTTTGCATTTAGTGATATTCAAACATATTACTTTTCATTAATTTAACTTAAAATTTAAATATTACCTTTTTGAAATGGAAAAGGCACCCAATTGATAAAATGACACTTCTGATATTATTTTCCAAACAAGGGGGGAAGTATTAAGGATACGACAAATACCCTCTAAAACTCGCAGAACAGACAAAGCTCTGATTATGAAGAGCTTGAATTGCTGTGTAAAAGTGTCTTTGTTTTGGGTTAAATACAAACTTGCTGTCCAGTATCACTTCTTTTATGAGGTTACGCAACACTTGAGCTTCTTTCCCACCCGATAAACTGTCTCAAGTTTATATCACTTTAATCCTAAATCCTGTTATACTTTGACTTCAAGAGATCCCAGCACTTAGCCACTTAGCCATGCAACAGGAATAACTTGTTGTAGCTACTTGTTGTGTTCACACCATAGGTTCTTACCCAGGCATTACCACACATGCCCCCCATGACGTAGCTCAGCTCATTGATTACTGTTGTTCATGTCCTTTTACTGACTGTAGCCAGTTCCCGCAAACAGTCTTTTGGAACAGATATAGCCACTGTAGACTAAATGTGTCCATGCTAGCTAATCCTCTTTGCTTCTGTGATCCCAAAGAGTCCTCCGGACTTCAGAGACTCAAAGGTGTTTTCTGCCTGATGAGTGGAAGAGCATGCAACACTATGGCTGGCGATACACATTATTGTTGCTCTATGTAAGTAATTACAACCCCTATGCATACATGACAAATGTTTTGTAGTTGCATAAATGTGTGTTGTATGCAAAATAATATAATTGTTTAATTTGTTGATTATACCAATACGATGTATGAGGTTAGACCGGAATGTTTTATGTAATGTTTTTAGGATTTTATTAAGGTGAAAATCAGTGTTATTTTAGTATAATTGAGATCCTATTAGAGTTAATAATTTGATTTTTGTGTTTTTATTTTCGTTTTAGTGATTTTTGTGTTTTATGTTGTTTTTGTATAGTTTAGTCTTCATTATGCTAATAGGCTACTTGAATGAAAATAAATGCTGCTTGGGCTGAAATAAAATAAGTTAAAACAAATTATTTCAAGTAATACATTTTATGGTTTTAGTTTTAGTTGTCCATGAATCAGAGGTCCACACATTTGATTATGGTTTTGGACCATTTTAGCTTAAGTTGTTGTGCCTCCCCATTAATGAAGCCATTATTCACACTACTTTACACTATATATTTCTCTGTTTTTTGGAAGAAAAACAGAGAGTTATTCTTTTTAGAGGTGTTCATGTAGCAATCGCTTTTTATTGCCAATGTGTGAAGTTGCGAGCTTATAACGAAACTTAAAAAAACGAAACCTTCTTCCTAGGTTGTCAATGAAAGCATGTAGATAGATTTTTATGTGAAGGACTCCACATGTTTTCGCCGGAAAAATGAAAGGATGAAAAATATGCGCGCTACCGAGAGCATCACTTCCGCTCAATATCACAAGTGAATGTTTACAATGTCCAGGAAAATGCCGATAGAGCTATTCTGTAGGCTACTGTAATACCAAGGTGTCATGCAAAGAAAATTGGGTAACGCTTTACAATAATAGTACATGAATAATCATGTAGCCTACTAATACCTGAATTAATAATTAAGTTACTATGAACTAATGATGAGTTAAGACCATTTTTTACAGTCTATGGTTAAGATAGCCTACTAATGTGGCACTAACCTTAACTGCGACATGAGTCATATGCCTAGTTATTCCTGCATGAATACCATCCTAACTATGTTAGTAGCCTACATGCTTGTACTACATTTCGGGGTAAACTAAATCAAATTTGCTCTAGAAAATTGACACATTTTGTGGCCCAAAAGAAGAGCAAGAACGATACCTGATTACCATCCAACTATGATGAAGACAGTAAAATTTAAAGTGGTACCGAAAATTGAATAATTCAAACAACAGTCTCAAATATACTTTATAATCAAACTATCATAACAGCGTAGGCTAATTTTAATCTCCTCGTCTGTCGACATGATGTCTGAATTGCAGAGCTGGCAAACTTAACTGCTGTGTGCTCTTACCGTTTTTTATTGTGTTTATTTTGTTTTTGAGAGGAAGCAGATATTTACATTTCCATATCGTCCTTCTCAGCAGCGTCTAGATGTTCGTTAACAGTATGTCGCTGCAAAGGTATTTCCAACTTCTTTCTACTACAAAGCAAAGAACAAAAATTAACTTGTCCGTGAGTAGCCTACATCGGGGCTAGAGCTATATCAAGCCTTCGTTATGTGTGCTCCAGTGCCAACACGACCAGTAAGTTGCCTGCAGTTCACTTAACAGCCACCGGGATTGCTAATAACAAGAGTTTCTGAATTCTACACACAGTATTAGTCCCTTTAACCCTGAGATGTGGCTCAACATGTTTAACAACACAAGCTCTGTTGTCTACAGAGAACACATCACTTAAATGTGTTTAGGCTTGTGAAATGGCAGTGAGTGTGCTTGTTATTGCTGTCAAACTCAACTCTCATCTCTTTCTGCTGTGACAGTTTGATGTTGTCGTGGATTTTCTGAAGAACACTGGACTCTCTGATGTCCACTGAGATGTGTCCTTTGTTATAAGCAGCTGAGACTGAGACAGGACAGTCATGAGTGCTGACACAGCTAACAGGGTGGATCCGGACCCTGATTATCATGCTGAACTGTCCGACATGGTAGCGGCCATGAACAGAATGACCCCTCCAAATGGATTCAGGACCACCCCACATCGCCTCAATCTCTCAGATCGCAAGATGTCTCTGCAGGAGCGGTCGAGTTCTCAGAATGGCTTCACCCCACGAATAGCCAGAAGACCCACTATTGAATCGAAGCGGGTGTCTATCTCTGATGGTGATGTGAGTTAGGCATGAGATTTTAGACTTTCGCAGCATATTTTACCTCAGACCATCAATGAGGATGTTCAGCAAAATATGGCATTGGTGCTGAAACTCATTATGCAATATCAGATTTTCACTACATGATTATTGTGGACAAAATAATTCAGGATATTATCACAATTTCCACACTGAAAAAAAAAACTGGTTTATTTTACTTTGAAACAAAGTTTACTATGAAGTTACAAGTAAATTTCATATACAAATAAATGGTTTTACATTGAATTATCCATGAAGTTTTGTAGTAGAAATACTGAAATTGGCTTTTATCAAAACAGATCATTGGAGTACGTTTATAACTTATTTTGATGACAGCCTATTTCAGTATAAATAAACAAACAATGCTTTAACTTTTCATTAGACGTTAACTTCATTTTTTAAGTTTATTTTGTGTCTTTTCCTATTTGACCAATAACACAAAATATGAGTGAAATTATTATTATTTTTTCAATATGAAGGACACCCCTAACAAACATACTCTTCAACCTACAGGACTGTGTCCAGCTAAACCAGTACAAGTTAAAGAGTGAGATAGGAAAGGTTGGTTATTCTACTTGCATAATTATTGCAGTTATTCTGCAAGCATAAAAGCATAAATATAAACTTAATGTTATCTTTTTAACCTTCCTTTTTTTACCCAGGGTTCATATGGGGTGGTCAAGTTAGCATATAATGAAGATGATGACCAGTATTATGTAAGCAAATATATGTTGTAAAGATGTGTTCTTTATTGTCAGCCTTTAATCATAACATGTATATATTATTATATTATTGTGTGTATTGTCTTATTTGTCTGTCTTTTTTTATCTGGACCGGTGAGTCTGTAATAAAGTTTATTATTATTATTATTATTATTAAAATGTTATTTAGAATGACTAAATGGTTACAAATTACACTAAAATGACATCATTTATGATAATATAATATATTATTATTTATTGCAGGCTATGAAGCTGGTATCCAAAAAGAGGTTAATAAAGCAGTTTGGATTCCCACGTAAGCAAAACACATTTACATTTGAAACTTTTTTCTTCGTCTCATGTCTGTAAGAATATTAATAGTAACTTGTGATGGTTGTGTAGGGCGACGTCCTTCCAGAGACTCCACTGGCTCACAAGAGAATCTTTTAAAGCATTCTGGCCTGTTGGACCAAGTATATAAAGAAGTCGCTATTTTGAAGAAACTTGACCATCTTAATGTTGTTAAATTAGTTGAGGTGAGTTAGATCTGTATTGTTTCTGACAAAGTCAAATAGTAGTTATTTGCTATAAAGTATAACTGTATCTGTCCTGTGCTATTTAACTGAAGGTTCTCGATGACCCGGCTGAGGATAACTTGCACATGGGTGAGTAATTCTGTCTGTTAGCTCAGTAATCTGCGATATAGAAGACTTTGCTTTTAAAGGCCATTACACACCGAGTCCGAAATTTGCATCCAAAATTTTCGCACGTTAAAAAATAAATACGACCTCACATTATGTCAATCATGCTAACACACTGCCTCCGAAACTTTCGGCTTTGATTTTCTGCGTTCTTCGCATCCGTAGCAAGCAGTTTGAATGGTGTTTTGACAATTCATAGCCACTGAATACGAAAAAAAACACATACAGTACAAAAATTTTGGACTCAGTGTGCAATGGCCTCTTTGATCTGTTTTTCTAATTGTTCTTTGTGTCCTTTTCTCAGTCTTTGAGTTGGTACCTAAAGGGTGAGTATTTTGACCTACAGTTCACAGCCACACTGTATGCTAATTACATTTTTCCTAAGTTTGATTTTTCTCTCATGATTTGTTTCACCTGACCCTAGTCCAGTGATGGAGGTCCCTACAGACAGTCCGCTAACAGATGAAATGGCCCATTTCTACTTTAGGGATGTCATCCTAGGCATTGAATACTGTAAGTTTCCCTAGTAGGGTATTTTAAAAAGTCTTGTATTTGTTAAATGGCATCTATAAACTGAGGTTTGGTGCTATTTTTGTTTTATTTTTTAGTGCACTATCAGAAAATCGTACATAGAGACATCAAACCCTCAAATCTGTTGCTGGGGGAGGATGGGCACATCAAGATAGCAGATTTTGGTGTCAGTAATGAGTTTGAGGGGAGTGATGCTCTCCTGTCCAACAGTGCAGGAACACCAGCTTTCATGGCACCCGAAACTCTGACTGATCGGGACCTGAGATTCAGTGGAAAGGTTAGAAGACTTCTAGAATATTCTGGTTTACATACAGTGAAGACATTGATTCTTTATCATTTACGATCGACTCTCATTGAATTCAGGCTCTAGACATATGGGCAATGGGAGTGACGCTGTTTTGTTTCGTCTTTGGAAAGGTAAGACATATACCTTTGTATTTACGCTACAATATTATTTTTCAAACATAGGCTAATTATATGTTAATATTTTGTGGTGCAGTGTCCTTTTCAAGATGAATACATCTTAGGCCTGCATGGAAAGATTAAGACTATGGCAGTGGAGTTTCCAGACAAGTGAGTTGCAAATATTGATAATAAACCATTTTACATACTGTACATTTACATATTTGGTAGACCCTTTTATCCAAAGCGACTTACGTTGCATTCAAGCTATCTTCTTGGGAATCAAACCCAGTTTGGTGTTATTCGCACCATGCTCTACTGTTTTAGCAACAGGATGGCTTTTCTAAACCATGATAAGAAAACATGCAGTCAGACAAAATGCATTGTCACAAATTTATAGAAGCTTGTTTTCACCGCAGAGTAAAAAAAAAAGGTAATTGTGACTTTGTTTATCTCACAATTCTGACTTTCTCTTATTTCCATGTTTAAATATAAACTTAGTATTGCAAGATTCATTTTTAATCAGAATCAAGTCGCAATTACCTCAAACACCGTCTTTGTATTAACTACAGTCAGAATAATTGAACTAAAATTGTGTCATTTTCTTTTTAAATAAAATGGATATTTTTGCTGGATGCTTATTAGTCAATATATACAGTTTTTTAAGTTTACACGTGTCTTCTTGTGGAAGAGTGGCACTTAATGAAAATGCTTAAAAAATGTTTTAATGTTTATATATAATGTTTTTATTATATTTATATATAGCCAAGCCATATAATATAGCACAGCCTCTTATTGCTTAGTACTATAAATGTGACCCTGGACCACAAAAAAACAGTCACATGGGTAAATTTTTGTATACATCAATAATTTATGGAGAAAAAATATAAGTTACCTTTCCATTGATGTATAGTTTGTTAGGATAGGTCAATATACAACAAATTTAAATATTGAGAAAATGTCTTTAAAGTTGTCCATTTATGTTCACAATTTTGCTGCATTAACTCACAAAAATAATTTTATATATATTTACGGTAGGAAATTTACAAAATATCTTCACGGAACATGATTTTTACTCACCGGTAATATAATATACTAATGATTTTTGCCATAAACGCAAAATCGATAATTTTGACCCGTACAGTGTATTATTGGCTATTGCCACAAATTTACCTGTGCAACTTGTGACTGGTTTTGTGATCCAGGGTCATATATAGCTTTCCAATACAATGTACTCATACTATGTACTCAAAAGTTGTTAAAAAAGGTTGCATTTATTTAATCAAAAATATAGTAAAATCAGTAATAATGTGAAATGTTATTACAATTCAAAATAACACTTTTCTATTTAAATATATATTTTTAAATGTGATTTATTCCTGTGATGCAAAGCTGAATTTTCTCCTGTGTTCACGGTCACATGATCCTTCAGAAATAATTGTAATATGCTGATTTGATGCTCAAGAAACATTTCTTATTATTGTCAATATTGACAACAGTTTTGTGAAAAACGTGACAGTTTTTTTTTTTCATGATTCTTTGATGAACCAACAATGTAAAAGTCAACCTTTCGTCTTTTTTTTTTTTAATTTTCATGGATAAAAGTGTAAGGTGAAGTCCCCCTTATTTACTTCAAACACCCTCGTTTTGTATTATTTCCACAGGCCTGTGATCAGTGACGGGTTGAAGAATCTCATTACCAGAATGCTGGACAAATCCCCAGAAACTAGAATCACATTACCAGAAATAAAGGTAAAATCATAATTAAAGAATTTTAAAATGTACATTTCAGTATTACTCTGTGTAATCTGGTCTCTGTGGGCAGCTGCACCCATGGGTGACGCTGGATGGCACGGATCTCCTGCCCCTGGAGGAGGAGCACTGCACGGTGGTCGAGGTCACTGACGAGGAGGTGCAGAACTCGGTCAAACTAGTCCCCCGCCTGTCTGCTGTGGTGAGTACATCTGTGGAAAAAACAAGGAAAAGGTTATTTTAAAGATTTAGTTCATACACACAAATGTTTTCAAAATTATTTTTTACAAAATTTCGAATTTAGCCATCTATCAAGTTGGCAAACCAATAATAATTTAAAGTTTTATTCATGCTGTATGCTTTTGAAAGAAGACTCTTATGCCCAAAAAGGCTGCATTTATTTTGATGCAAAAATACAGTAAAAACGGAAGAAGAAAAAAAGTGTCAGGTTTGGTGTTGAGGGAGGAGGGGAGAACTGATGGGCTTTTATTCAGAGTAAAACAAAAAAAAAAAAACAGTAGGGGGAAACCATCTGGTGGTGAAGCGAGGCACATCAGATGACGTACTGGCTCAAAGACAGAGAATAAATAGGGAAGCAAATGATGAGGATAACGAGGCAGGACATGTGGGGTAATTGAACTGATAATCAGGTAATGAGGAGGCCAGAGTCAAGACACTAGACAGGGGAGCACATTGCACACAGAAGCAAACATGACAGAAGCCATTTGGCCTGTTGAATGAAACTACCTGAACGATCTCTGAACATGGCCCTGTTTACACCTGGTTTTAAGATCGGATCATAAGTGGATGATGCTAAGTACAGGTGTAAACTTGGTTTTAAAGTTTTTAGCTTGCCACTTCCAGAGGTAGTCGAAAACAGCCACTAAAGACCGCCTACTCTCCACATACTCACCAGCCCATTCTCATCCCAAGGCGTCATATACTGATGATTTTGACATTTCGTCTGCAGCCAACGCACATGGCACCCTTTAGCGTTAATATTAGACACAATGGGCCAGAAGGCGCCTCCTAGTGGTCTAACCCTAACCTTACCCCAGAACTAAACCTACCCATAACCAAACAAAGCTCTGTGCATGTTATATTTACGCTAAAGGGTGCCATGTGCGTTGGATTTAGACGAAATTTCAAAAGCGTCACATATGACGCCCTAGGATGACTGACCTAATGCATAAACGCTATGGGAAGCACACTAGCCAGACGGGATTTAAACTATGTTGGCTAGAGACCAAAACAAAAAACGTACCATGCACAATGTTGTCTCAATACTCCTGATTTCGCGCTCATAGACTCTTCCCTCGAAGAAATCCGGACAAAAGAGACAGATTAAAATACCAGGTGTAATTGGGAATGTGTCTTCCTCATCTACATGTGATCTGATTGACGAAAGCGCTGATTTTGAGTTTCAGAGTAGGTTTAGAGTTGACAAAACCTTACAAATCCGACCATAAAGGCGGTTTAGGTGGCTAGTCAGGTAAGGTTTCAGTTTAGCTTACGCCTGGATTTAGGCAATATGAAAGCAGCTTGGCTTTTAGCTGTGGGGCAGGCTATGTTCTGGGTAAGAGATCATACATACATACAGACAACAAAGTATATTTTTTTACAGACCTGACCCCAAACTTTTGAAACCCCAAAATTCAGGTTCAAAGCATTCATTTGCATTCTGTAAAATCTGCAGCTCAAAAGTTGCATCAAAAGATCCCACTTGTAGGTTCTGTAATGTAAATATGTGTCGTTTTTAATAACATGTTTTAATGTGCATATCTAACATTAGTTTTACACTGTATTTTAAGATCCTGGTGAAATCCATGCTGCGGAAGCGCTCCTTCAGTAACCCCTTCGAGGGCCGCAGGCAGGGCAGGTCCATGTCTGCCCCTGGAGGTCTGCTCGCGTAAGTCCACCATCACTTCCTACTGCATGCTGGTACTCAGTAAGAATACCTGTGACACTGATATGATGCTCTTCTTTCTCTCCATAAATTCTGCAGGGATATGTGTCTGTTTCGCCCTTTAAGGTATTACACAATAGACCTCACTGCTAATTTTAGTATTTCAAACTTAATACTCATGTTTAAGTATGTGTTTGTACTACATATTCATTTTTTGATGGTGTGTGTCCTCAACAGCAGAGGGAGTAACAATAACGGGAGCAAAGAGGGGGAGCTGGAAAACCTCATTGAGGATGAAGCTTTTTCCTGAATTTGCTCAAATCATTTGTGAGATTGGTCCAGTTGTGTGATTAGACTATTTTGTTCCAATCTGCATTGGAATTTATTATTTTTTTTAAACAAAATGCTATATACTGGACAGCATGATGGAAGGGTTTTAAGGTACCTTTAAAATAAATATAATGCTGAATCTGGTAATAAGTACTTTTTAGTAGAGCAATATTTGTGTTTCTTTGCATTTAAGTGCCAAATTTAAAGAAAAAAAATATTTTGATTTAAATGCATATTTAAAAAGATAGCCGTGCATTTGACATTAGCATATAATATGGCAGCAGCAGTGATGACTTTGCTGTGCAGTGGAAATCAGCAAAACTTTGCACGAGATGTATAGTGTAAGTCTATGTGTTATATAAAAGGTCTTTATGTTGTCTTATTGTCATTTTGAGCTCTTCTGTGGTGTCACAGAATGGACTGTAGTTTGTGTAGCTGGAACGTTACAAATGTTTATTTTGCACCAATTGTGAGTTTGTTTTTCTTTCCTTGACAAAAGTACTTTACTACTATATTCACAATGTGTGGAATTTACAATGTGGCTTTTTGTATCAGAGCTTCAGTCTCGTGAGTAATACAGGATGCAGGCATATTCATTTGATTCGTATTTATCATTATATATATGCATATATTCATATATATAAGCAGAGATCATAATAATAGCAGAAAAGTGCAGCACAATGGTTTTCTGCTTGGCACCTAAATCTTTTAAAAGCACTTTACATTATGAAACCTTCAGCCTTCAAATTCAAACACAGTTTTCAGTTTTTAATGGCCATTTTATCTGTTGTCATTTGAGCTATTCAGAACATTACTCACATTCTCAGTTGATAGTGATCTGACTGCATTTTAAATTGATTTCCATTTCTTCCTGAGTGATGCTTTACAGCAGTCCATTGACTTCACTTTGTCAATATTCAGATTACAAGTTGACTCACCTAACATATGGTAAGCATCCATGTAACAACCTGTCGTCGTATTTTCCTGGATGTGCATGTATTTTCAAATTGCAAACAATTTAGTGTACACTAACCTAAGGTTACTTTTGTTGACTTTGCAAGCCAAATATTTCTAACTTGACTTACTTGCAGGGGTATCATTATCTTGCAATGGTTGATTATAGGTTTTTGATTAATTCCAAAAGCATTTTTTCCAAATTAAGAATGATTCACATGAAATTGTATTTGATTCGAATAAAATTAATTTAAATGTTTTTTTTTTAAATCACTTTCTCTTATGCATCTAGTGCAAAATTTTTTTTTACTTTATTGCAACAAATGTAATTTGAAAAAGCATTATACATACATTATATATAGTTGAGGTAATAAGATACCCTTGCAAAATCTGCAAAATGATAAAGATAGTTTAGTTTTTATTTAGTATTTTAATTTAAGCATGCTCTGTTCTTTCTTTTGCATGAAAATTGCATGTTGAGATATTCAAACATCAATGTTTTGAGAAATGTATCAAAAATCCTGGTGGTGGCTGGCTATGTTTTTTTTTCTTAATCACTGAGAAAGAGTTCCTCATTCAAAAAACATGTTCAAATGCAATGTCATAAGGATGTTCAGCATTAATCACAGGTTATTGTAGTATTTTTATTAGCAACCCGATACTTTATAACATAGTCAATAACCTTTCCAGGCAGACGGTTGGTAAAAACTGTGGATGGAGAGGTCAAAACCATTGGTAAGTGCTCTTTATAGTCTTTTTACATAATGATTGACTAGTGGAAGGGTTGCAGACTCTTTTCCCTTTGGACTATTCAGAGACACTTCTGTTAATATTACCATTGCACTTCAATGCTTTTATATTAGTTCAAAACCTCAAATGTAGACTATATATATATATATATATATATATTATTAGACTTGCTCAGCAATATGCCCTTTTTCTGTGCATTCAAAACATGCTGAAAAACTGTAATCTCATATCTAATCATATTTGCTGCTTTAGTAAAAATTAAGATCATTATCTCATCTGAAGTGTGAAATATTCAAGCACTAATTGTGGCCTACAGTGAAATTGATGTGTGTACGTGCGCAGTTACACAGAACACAGCCAGTATCAAGACAGCGTATTTAATGTATAATCAGATTTTGAGAAACAAAATGGCGATCATTTGGGCGAACACAAAAATGTCATTTGAATCAAACAAGAGTGACAGAAATAGTGAAAAGTCCCAGTGCTGTTCAACTAGCTAGAATGCCATTTGGCCAATCAAATTCGAGGACTAGAACTACTCGAGGACTGTTACATAATGCTACTGAGACAAATAGACATTGGCTTTAATATATTTATTGAATTGTCTTTCAGCTTTTAGATGCCACAGACCAATATGATCAAGTATATAGTTCTAAAATGTAGAAGGCAGCTATATATTTTCATAAATTTAGACCCAGAACTAACTTATAATGTGAATAATTCTTATAATTATGTATAAAATATTTTCCAAAAAATATTTACTTTCTATCTTTTAACTTTATAGTACTGTAGTGTTAGATTATTTATTTATTTATTTAAATCAAATGTTTATTTTAGTTGAATTATTTGGTTAGTTTAATATTTTTATTTTACTTTTTTTATGAAGATATTTTGAGAAATGTTGCAGTTTGTTTTTGTTCAGTAAAGGATGACAAAATTATCATTTTGGGTGGAACTATCCCTTTAAATGTGCATCTTTAAGTTGTTCGCCTGAGTTTCATCTGTAACCATGAAGGGCCACAGTTATATGGTTTTATCCAAATATATATCTCAGCATTTTCTGTTATTGATTTGGAACTCATTTCTCCAATAGGCAGATGGGATCTTAGGCTGAGGCACATCACAAATCTTTGCCATTCGGCTTTATGCAGATGGTAGTGTGTTAATAAATATTCTTCTCTTTTCTTTCTCCATATTAAACTTTATATGTGAATGCCCTTGAGGGATGTCTCATCAGATGATGAAATCAATTAAGCATTGATAAATAAATCAAAAATAATGCTTCAAGTATACATTTTGAGGTGACCAATCTTCAGATGGGAATAGCCTTATCTGAACAATTTAACCAGGGCAGACATGTTCTATCTTGCATCCGATCATAATGCAGCAGAAATGACTTGCCCCTTTAGTACAATGCATGACAGAGTCCCGACGTGAACAAGGGGAGACAGGTTTCCCTTGAATTTTAATGGTGTCTCTGATGTTCTGATGTTTATCTCTTTTCTAGATGTCTGAACAGTGCCAATGGGAGAGGGGATGTTTTGTCTCCAGCCCTAGCAACAAGCACCGGATTGGTGGATATGACAGCACACGCTGCCTGCGATTGGCCGTTATCGTGGAGCATTTTGAGCAGAGAAATTCATCTCTTGCTCTATTGGGTGTGGGTTGCTGTAGGAGGCTGCAGCAGAATGCTGAAAGAGACAGCAAATCAGCCTGTAAGTTTGTTTTACCTCCGCAATATGAAAAAGAAATAGAATGAATACTATGAAAGTGTGAAATTTCAGCTGGTACTTGTGCAGTTTATGTGGCAGCCACACATCAGACGAGATCATTTTTCTAATAATTAGTCATGCTGATAATGAATTCAAATGGAAATGACTAAAGGCATGCAGGTTTGTCATGTGACCTTCAAAGGAAGAAAGTCAGCCCTATATTTGCTTAATGTAATATTTTTTAATGCATGCATACTCAAAAGCCAATCATATGGTCCTTATAAAGTTACATTCATACTGTATGTCAAGCACATTCTTATAGTTTTGAGAGGTGAGCTCTGCAATGCAGTGCTGAACACTAATCATGGATAGAAGGTGCAATGCAGCGGAAAACCATTTGGTCTTCTTAAACTCAGTTGAGGATTCACCACGGTGTTTGAACCTGTTAAACCATTTACAATGCCGCTAAACTTCAGATTACAGTGTATAAAACGACAGGACTTGGAATTGAGCACACATTGCAAAAATTAACTTGACTTTGGTGTAATTGTTTGGTTTTGAGTAGGCCTAAATAATAGAGGGACAATACACACAACCAGCACTGACATGATGCATCTATGACTACTTGAGTTTGTTTTTTCTGTCTTTTTATTGTTATAATTATTTTGGCTCTTGTGCAACTGCTACATAGTTATTCACATTCAGATATTGTCACTCAGGATACAGCTAAAAGAAGAAAAAAAAAAGAAATTGAAAGGAAAAAAAAAGGCAAATAAATGATTTTAAAAATACTGCCAAAGACAATGTATGGTCCATATTCTGAATCGGTCACGGAAACACTGATTCGGTAACTTCACTTGTTTAAACCACACGTTCAATGTGCATAATATGACAAGAAGAGCACTCGTATATTGTTCAGAGAGCAAAACATTGCTTAACAATGTCATGGTTACAATTTACCAAGAAAAACGCCGGTACATTTAAGTGATCAGTAGTGTTTTTCATTTTCAAAAGTCAGCCTAGCTAAAGAAAAAAACATTCCATGTCACAACGGCAACGCCCATAACAGATCGATTTATTGTTAACAACCACAACTTTGGAATAGCAAATCAAAACGAAAACTGATCAATTATAAATAAACAATAAAAAGCCAGTTTACTCTTCAATTATAGGAATACATAACATCCAAGATATAAGTTAATAAAGTCAAGCTATTGTATAAATACATCACCAGCATGCACAATATTGAATCATTGATAGTATCGTTGTAATTATCTGACACTGACGAAACAGTATACTTGGCAAGTGCAAAAATAAATTAAACACAGAAGTAAACCACAAACTTTTAAGCTGCAACATTTTTCCTATTTATTTTTAATCCAGTCTCTGCCTTTTCCCCAAACTGTCCTTCAAAAAGGTCAATGGTTCCAGTAGTATCAGACTGATTATGATGATTGTATATCTCTCTTGGCGCATTCAAAGAACACAATTTCATTCGCCGCGCTTCCGTCTAATAGCTAATTGAATTTCCAGTTCAATCAATTGAGTGCAAACCAAGATGATTCGAACAGGTCAACTTGTGACTAATACTGGAACCATTTAATACCATCGTTAGCCTTCGTTCGAACACCACCTAACCCTCTTTTGAAATGCATTTCTACGACCCAAAACATAAATAAGCAGCATCCCTTTGAAATACATCAGTCCATGTGCCAGTGTGAGGCTGCCACTCCCAACCAACAACGACCGCTTCCGGCTGATTGACTGACATTTCAGTGGTTTTGGCAAATGTCAAAGAGAACCAAGAAGAGGGAGGCCCATTCAACTATATATATTTCTGTATATATTCAAACTAGGACTTCAGCCCCCCCTTTACCACCCTTGATATTTTTTTCTTTTAACTCGTGGAAAAATAAAGAACTGCTGCTGCAGAGGAAACCATGGCAAAAGCTGCTGCCAAAGTCCACCAGCCGTTTTTATGTATCTAGATAGAGAGGCCGTCCACTTTTAATTGTTGCCCTCCCCAGCCTCATCGTCTTGCTGGTCACTCGTCCACAGTGTCAAGTTGTCTCGGAGGAGCTGCATGATGAGGGTTGAGTCTTTGTAGGAGTCCTCATTGAGGGTGTCGAGCTCGGCGATGGCGTCGTCGAAGGCCGTCTTGGCCAGGTGGCAGGCCTGCTCCGGGGCGTTCTGGATCTCGTAGTAGAAGACGGAGTAGTTGAGGGCCAATCCCAGCCGGATGGGGTGAGTGGGCTGCATGTGCTCTTTGCTGATCTCGTGAGCCTCGTTGTAGGCCTTCTCGGAGGACTCCACCACGGTGGAGCGCTTCTCGCCTGTGGCCACCTCGGCCAAGTAACGGTAATAGTCTCCCTTCATCTTCAGGTAGAAGACCTTGCTCTCGTGCTGGGTTTCGTTGCAGTTCTTGATCAGGAAGTTATCCAATAGGTTGAGCACGTCCTGGCACACGGCCTCCAGTTCCTTCTCAATCTTCTCGCGGTAGGCCCTCACCATCTCGATCTTCTTCTCGTTGCCATCCGCCGAGGTCTTCTGCTCGATGCTGGAGATGACCCTCCAGGACGAGCGACGAGCGCCTACCACGTTCTTGTAGGCGACCGACAACAGGTTCCTCTCTTCGTTGGACAAGGCCTCGTTCAGCTCGGTTACCTGCGAAGGAGGCAAATAGATCGGCGTTTGAGAAAAGAGATAAAAACATCCAACAATGTGATTACAAATATGCTTGCTTCATAAGTTGAGCAAATTTACATTAAAGTCGGCATTTCAATCAAAATGGACAATTCTTGGGGTTTTTTTTTTTTGTGTGGAATATTGCAGTGTTCGTTATAAATGATATACTAGGACTGTACGATTAATGAAATCGCAAAGGCTGCGATGATTATTTATGCGCAGCTTGTCAGTGACGTACAGATCTGTGATCAGTAGTGAACGCTGCTCCATCTGAAAGCACTGCGAGTTTGAGGCAACGTCCACACTGCTGCGTTTTCGTTTAAAAACGGAGACCTTTTGCTAGGTTTGCAGAAAAAAAAAGAAAGACCAAAAACGGAGAAGTTTAGAAACGCTGCAGCTCCGTTTTGCGTTTTGAATCTCCGGAGGGCGTTTTAGTGTAGACGGGAAAAAACGGAGGACTTTAGAAACGATGACGCAGAGGCTCACGCTTGGCTCTATGATTGGGTGTCATCAGAACATGACGTGTCCTTCCCTGATTCGTCAGCCACTGTTTACACCGGCACGCGCATGCCCAGTGTTGGCGAATGATCACGTGATCCGCGTTTTCAGTCGTTTTAATGTGGACTGAGATCAATTCTAATAAGCAGATAAAACGCTGGTGTGGACGGAGATTGTATTCGTTTTAATTCTAGTGTGGACGGGGCCTGAGTCGCTTATTTGAAAAAGCAACAAGCGTCAAGCATCTTTCAAAACAGGAGAAGCATTTATGAACCTCCTGTCCAAGAAACGACATTTAATAAATCAAAGCATTTCAATCTTCTGTTTATTCACCTACAGCAATAGTACGATGCCCATAGGGGTTTCCCTCATGCTGCATGAGAGCGCCCTCTAGCTTTCAGATGGAGCAGCATTTACTACCAATCGGCCCTGTTGGACTGACAAACTGTGCATAAAATAATCGCAGCCTTTGCCAAATATTAAGCCCAAGTGCATACCGTTATTTTCTTTTTGTCATGTGTTCTAATCTTTAATCGAAATAACTTCCTCTCCCTTACAGCGACATCTCTTCTCTTCTCTGATGACGTGTGTTATGGCAAAAGGGCGATAAGGGGAAACCTGTCACTCACATGAGATCGACCAATAGCAAACCACAACCATCCAATAATCCAATCAATTCTCCTTTGACAAAATCAAGTCCTCCCCCACACCTTTTCTCACTCGGATATACATCACAATAGGGAACAAAAGACTATCGCAACTTCTTTAACATTAAAATGAATGAAAATCAACTTAATTTTTCAGTTGCATAATGATAATATCCACACAGAGCTTCATCAGCTGGCTGAATGCATTGTGCAGCCATGAGCTCAAGTTATATGCCAAGTGCAGTTTCCATGGCAATAGTCTCATTTTTGTACAGTAGTCCAACTCTATCTGGCGAGATGACGGAGCACTAGCGCTACACAATGCACTAGAGGTGAAGTCACTTCAGCTGAGAGTGGGGGCAGGGTGAGGATAGGGGGCAGGGGCGGGAGGCGAAATGTTCCCACATACCCCTCAGGGCAGCTGCAGTGTAAGTTAACACGATCTCTGTGTGGCAGTTCATGTGTTATGGTGGCCTTCTCTCTGACCTTTCTCTTAACAAACTGGGACTAACCTACTACGTATGTAAAACTACATATTTTAACAAAAATCACTCATTTCAAGGATAGATCTCCTAGTCACCAGGTCTTTGCGGTGCACTAACATAATATCACATGTGTTTTCTCTAATGATAAAGGAACTGTATGTGCAATTAAACACTTTTCAAAGGCCATGTGCCTCAGATCAAGGTTTCTGATTTTAGATTTCAGCTAAAATTATTCCCTCGGAGTACAAAGAGCATTGAATTCAAAGAAAAAGATCAGAGCAGAAAACAGGAACAGTGGACAGGAAGATGAGGCTCGTAACGAAACACAGGCAGGAGGATATGAAAGAGTTTTATTTAAAAAGGAAACAACAAACTTAAAGTTATTTATGTCTGGGTACACACCGATTTGGCATTCCTCTCAAAGACATAGTAACGGGTAGTTGTGGTGGGTGACGGAGTAACCTTGTTACCTTGGTAGCCGTGTTGAAATCAGATGCAAATATTTACACAGAAGGAAGCCGTTCACCAATTTTAAGTAATAAGCTGGATGATCTTACTCAAATGTGAAGTTTTAAGCTTGGCCTAGTGCTGCTCATCTCTTTGCCTGAATGCATCAAGATAATTGAGGCCTGTGGGCACTTTCCCATCAGGTCTGTGCTGGCTAAATGGGCTTTTATCCATGGGACCAAAGTAACTAGAGTCAAACTGCTTTTATATCTCCCCTACAGATCCATGAAGCTACAATTTCCTGTCCGGTGTACAGAACAATCTCAACCTTCCCTTTTAACAGTCATTTGGGATTTCAATCAAGGTAATATTGAGGTAAGAAAATATATCCATTTTAGCTAAATTGATCTGGCACATATTTGCAATCAATACACTTATTGTACATTTTGGTATTCAATTAAGACTTTATTTTCAGTTGTTTTATGACTGTTTCAATATGCGAATCTTTCTTTTGAAGTCGTGGAGTAAAAAGCGTTGAAGTGACACATTTGTAGTTAAAGGGGTGATGAACTGAGAAATCAAATTTTTATTGAGCTTTTGACATCTAAGAGGTCATCAGATTCATATTATAAGAATATCTTGTAAGTTTCAGAACTGAAAACGTCCTTGTTAGTCCAATAAAAGCTTTTATTGACACCAGGCTCAGCAAACGACTCGTTTTTCAAAGTGGGGAACTATGACGACAAAGAGGATAAAACACCACCCCCGCAGAAGAAGATCAACGCCCACTTCAACACGGCCGGTTTAGCCCAGCCCACCGATTCGCGCATTACACGCATAGCTAAATAACATAGGCCTGCCGAGTGAAACTCATTATAATATGCAAAACTGTTATCCACTCACAGCAGTGGGTGTTGACTTCCGAGTTTTCAATGCGAGACGCCCATAAAAACCGAGCGTTTTTGAGCTGGGCTCAAAACTAGGGTCGAAAATAGCCTATTACTTATTAATTTTGATGTTTTTTAATGTACAAACCAAACGAACGTCATAAGCTGACCACAGACAACAATATAAAAAAATTTAAAAAGTCAGTTCATGACCCCTTTAAGTCAAAAACGTGTTGCCATGGGCAAGAAACATTCAATCACTCAAGAAATAAGAGAAGAGAAGCTAGATGACACCCCTCCAGAAAAAAAAGCATGATGTCAACACTCGACAAAGCAGAAATGGAGAGGTCTTCCTGAATCTCCATAAACCTATGTAAGAGACTAGAGTCTCCTGAATGCCCTCAGTCTGATGGGAATATAGTCAGGATGCTGACGTGAAGAAGTGTTAGAGCTTAAGATGCAGATGTTTGCTCCCCCCTCGAGAAGCCCTAAGGCCTTGAATGATTTCATTATAGTGCTCACCTCTCAAACACTGTTAAAAAATTGTACAGAAATTATATTCATTAGAAATAAACACTATCGAAGAGATAGGCTACATTTGCTTTAATCGGCTTATATAAAAATCTGTGGGTTTAGAACAAGAAGGAATCATGGACCTTACTGAATCATGGACCTTACTGCAATATGACAAGGATGGAAGATTCTGGAAGGAATGCTGCTGCCTCTAACGTTGGTTTAGAGGAAATATCTTAACAACTCCTATATGTAGAAAATGAATATGGGAAGACATAAGTCAATTATGAGAATGTGTGAGGAAAAAAAACAAAGGCATTTTTTTAATTTATAGCCTATATGCTGATGATGGAAAATTAAAATCTTATGTATTTATGACAATACACTATGCTTGAGTAATGAACAGCAATGACAAAATACCTATTTCTAGTGTAAATTCTAGGCTATCCAACACTAGGCTACGTTTATGACCATAAATATGCAGTATGTTGCGGAGAGCAACGATTTAAAAAAGAATAAAGTGCAAAATATGGATTTTTTTTTTCATTAACTCTGAAAGCTGTGTTGAAACAGATCTTTATACATTTGTCAAGTGTCGTCTCATTCATTTGAGTGTGGGTTCGGGTAAGACAGAAGGCACCGCCCAAGACCCAGACAGTCTACACCCGATCCACTGCACTCTCAATAATACAGCTCTGATTTATCATAGATCAACACCCCCAAAAATTGTATACGACAACATATAAATGCATTTCGTAACATGCAAAATTTTACAGTCACTTCACCCATGTGAACATATAGCCTACCCCTTTTCCTCCGAATGCATCGAGTTTATAGTAGGCTATGCATAATACGACAATTATATCACCATTTTATATTATGTTATATTATAGAAATAAATTGAAAGAATGACTTACCGATTTCATGGCTGCTGCCATATCATCATATCTCTCTGCCTGTTCAGCCAGCCTGGCTTTTTGAACCAGCTGCTCACGGTCAACCATATTGGATGGTTATGGTTTGGACGATATAATTTGTTTTTGGGGAAGAACTGGTAATATTGTATGAGCTATGCGGTGTAATTGACTGAACGAGAGCTTCTCTGCAGCTGTTCCTCGCTATCTATGCTCGTGCCGACGACGGGCCACTCTCGCCCCTCCTCAGGCGCTACGTCAGGGTTCTATAAACGTGGGCGCTATGGCAAGCTGGAACAACATTTCTTCTTGACAGTTGCTAAAACTAACAACTATTGATATTTCTTTTTTTAAAACTAGCAACTATTGTTATGTTAGCTACTAGCACATTTGTAATTATTAGTAAGCAAACAAACTGTGACTAGTAGGCTATATTTATATAACAGTAGGCTATAATATATTGGCTTCACACACAGCTGTTCAAATGCTTGGGATCCATAAGATTTTTAATGTTTTTAAAAGTAGTCTCTTATGGTCACCAAGGCTGCATTTTAAAAATAAATAAGTAAAAAAAAAACTGTAATATTGTGAAATATTACTATTTAAAATAACTGTTTTCTATTTAACATATTTTAAAATGTAATTTATTCCTGTAATGCATCATTACTCTATAGTCTTCATTCAGTGTCACTTGATCCTTCTGAAATTCAAATTGATTTGCTGCTCAAGAAACGTTATTATTATCAATGTTGAAAATGGTTATGTAAAAAAAAAGAAATACTTTGATCAATAGAAAGTTCAAAAGAACAAAACAACAGCATTTATCTGAATGAATAACATTAGCTTTGAATAACTTGTATAACAAGTTAGTATGCTTGTATAACATTAGTATGCTTTGAACAACAAAGAATTGAGACACCACCACAAGAAGCTAATTGGAAGCAGCGTTTATTAATTAGAGCACAAGAAATAAAAGACATTGTCTGCATATTTCAAATAAATGGAGTAAAACTTTATAGTCACCAAAGATGTGTAAAATATTTTTCACAACTTTTTTCAACATTGATAATAACAATGAATGTTTTTGAGCTTCAAATCAGCATATTAGAATGAATTCTGAAGGATCATGTTGTGTCACTGAAGACTGGAGTTATGAAGCTGAAAATTCAGCTTTGCTTCACGGAATTATATACTTTTTTTTTTAAATAAATAAAAAACAGTTCTTTTATATTGTAATCATGTTTAACAATATTACTTTTTTTAATCAAATAAATCCAGCTTTGGTGAACATAAGATACTTATTTTAAAAACATTAAATATCTTACAGACAGACAGACAGACAGACAGATATATAGATAGATCTTAAATATGTTTGGTTGTTTAAAAAAAAAAAAAAGTTAAATTGGCTTGCCATATGGGTGCCTCACTCATGATGTAATAGTCCTTATATGGGAGTCAGAGGCCACATATCAGCAGTGATGATGATGGCACATTAGAGGTCTTCTAAGCACAAATGCAATATGGGAGAATGAGTCACCCACTATTACCAATTCTAGCACCCCTCCTGTTTGGAGGGAGGATTTTGGGGATGACATAATTATGGTTACATTTAGGATAGTGTGTCTCATGTTGTGTCCATGCTACGAAAGGTTATAGGTTATTGGACAGATGGAACAGACAAACAACTTGGTCTTTCATATGGGTCATTTTACAAGAATGGTGCAGTGTGTATCCCTTAAAGGGATACTCCACCCAAAAATGAAAATTCTGTCATCATTTACTTACCCTCAAGTTGTTGCAAACCTGTATGAGTTTCTTTCTTCTGCTGAACACAAAGGAAGATATTTTGAAGAACGACTTTTTGGCACCATTGACTTCCATAGTCGAAAAAAAAAAAATACTTTGGAGGTCAATGATGCCAAAGTTCCAATCGGTCTTCAAAATATCTTCCTTTGTGTTCAGCAGAAGAAAGAAACTCATACAGGTTTGCAACAACTTGAGAGTGAGTAAATAATGACTGAATTTTCATTTTGAGGGGAGTATCATTTTAAATAAGGGAGACTGGGGCTAGTTGTCATATGGGGAACATATCTTTTATATTCTCTCTATGAATTCATTTCTTTTACATTAAGAGGTAATTTGAATTTCACAGGAAATTCCAGAATAGAATAGAATAGAATATGAAAGTGTCAGTGAAATGGTAATTACAATTAGAAAATTCCAGAATAGAATAGAATAGAATATGAAAGTGGGGTGGAATGGTAATTACAATTAGTAAATTATAGAATAGAATAGAATAGAATAGAATAGAATAGAATAGACTATGGAGGTGTGAGGATCATGGTAATTACACACAGAATAGAATAGAATAGAATAGAATAGAATAGAATAGAATAGTAAATTCCAGAGTCGAGTCGAGTATGGAAGTGTGAGGATTGTGGTAATTATTGGAAAGAATAGAATAGAATAGAATAGAATAGAATAGAAATATTTACAAACAGGAAATTCTAGAATAGAATAGAATAGAATAGAATAGAATAGAATAGAATATGGAAGTTTCTGGAATATGGTCACTGCAAACAGGAAATTCCAGAATAGAATCTAATAGAATATGGAAGGGTCAAGAATATGGTCATTGCAAACAGGAAATTCCAGAATAGAATCAAATGGAATATTGAAATGGAAATTACAGGAATATGACAATTACATATATGACATTCCAGATTAAAATAGAATAGAATAGATTAGAATAGAATAGAATAGAATAGAATAGAATAGAATAGAATAGACATGATTCTGCCCTTGTGTCCTTGATTTTCTCTAGTCTTGAGAGGTAGGATCATGACAGACCCATATTTTGTGTGCAAGCACATGGCCTTTTATTTGGGCCATGTGCTTGTGTTGTCTCGTTACTTAACCCCGTTCCCTTGTTCTCCATTATTGTTTCATCTGTGTCACCTGCTGTCATCATCAGTTTCTCCACATGAATCCCCTTGTGTTCGCTGTCCTGTGCCGGTTCATTATCTTACCTTTATCATTCCTTGTGAGTATCCTGTCAAGTGTATTGTCTAGAGAAAGTTCTGATTCAGTATTTGCTGTTTGTTTATTGTCTAGTTATCTGTCAAGTCTTAGTCTATTTAGTCACTCCTTGTCCTGTCCATGTTTTGCCCCCTCGTGGGTTTTGTTTTTGCATCCTGTCTGCGCTTGGGTTCATCTCTGTAATTTATAACAAGAATAGAATAGAATAGAATAGAATAGAATAGATGGAAGTCAAGTTTTTCCCCATGACCACAGCACCATGGTTTATACAATATCTCCACAATATTTTTTGGTTCTCCATAGGTAGGTTACCCATGCAAACCTTTTTTGTTTACAAAGGATTGTCCTGAGAGGTGAAAAGGACACGCTGGGTTGCTTCCTTTGCGATAATGCGGTTAACAGCTAGCTCTACTTGGCACAGTTCAGAACGGATGGCTCAGCTAATCGGCAGGGCTGTGCACAGCAGGACTGGGCCAAATCCACTGGCAGAGTGTTATTCCTTTTCCTTTCTCACCATGATGTGAAATTTGTTCATTCACTAAATAATTCTGTAGTAGACTATCTTTAAAAAAACGGTCATGTCAAATTTGCATTTGGAGACTTTTCAGGTTAAACTGATCCATTTCCTCCAAGAGGATTAGTCTCAGGCAGATTATCTTGACTCCCTCTCTTAATGCTAAAGCTAGGGAGCATATGGGGTTTGGCTAACCACCTGTCTACCTACTGAGGGGACATCAGACGGACATTCACAGCCCAGGGATAGAGGAAGAAGACTGCAATGATTGGGCTGGGTGTCTATCTTCCAGATGGTTTTAGGGTTGCTTCACTAGAAGATATAGAGAATTGGGAATCAGAGAGGGAAATGTATGAGCCGGATGTGCGACTCTTTGTGGCTCTGTTCTCATACAACCCTGCGGTGATGTCACCAAACCCTGAAACAATGGAGGAGGAACTGCCTTTTCAACAAGGACAGATCATTAAAGTAAAGATGATGTTTTCTTCTTATCAGTTGTTCTGTTATCTTAATTCACAATCAGCCGCAATGCATCATTTTCAGATCATTTCTGTTGTGCTTCGCCCATGCTGTGTTTGGGAGCCTCGGAGTCAGTGAGAAATGTTCTCTTGTAGGTACATGGAGATAAAGACGCTGATGGCTTCTATAGCGGGGAGACTGGCGGTCGCTTTGGTTTTGTGCCGAGCAACATGGTATCTGAGATTCCTGTGGAAGACGGAGAGCTTAAATGTCACCTGCTCCAGCAGGGGTTTTTACCTGAGGAGACGCCTTCTATAGGCAAGTATTTTTTGTCTTTCTTTTGTATTTGATGAAAACTATCCACGTTATTAATACATTTTTAAAAGTATTAAACTGTTATGGACTTATTGATTGATTCACGGCTTCTTTGTACTATTAATATTAGCACCCAGTGATACTTCTAGTGTGGCAGATGGTGGGAAGGTCCACAGGATGGTGGCCATTTTTGATTATGACCCATGGGAAAGTTCTCCAAACTTGGACATTGAGGTGATTAATAAATATTATAAAAAATATTATTTTTTTACCCATCTCCAAATATTTTTTTTCAGCTATTTGTGTGTGTGTTTCCGGTAAACCCAACATTATTGGGGCAAAATGTCCCCACAAAGATGGCAATATCCAAAATCCATGTCCTTGTGGAGCCATTTTTTGGTCCCACAGCTTATAAATATGAAATTTAAATTAAAAAAGTAAAAATGCTGAAAGTTTTCTGTGATGGGTAGGTTTAAGGGATAGATTATACAGTTTGTACAGAATGAAAATTATTATGTCTAAATGGAAAGTCCCCATAAAACAAATAATAAATTCATGTAGAAATTAATAATAAAATAAATAGTTAATTGTTTTGAAATTATTATTAAACTAATAAGACTTTATATTAAAGTATTTGAACTATTATAAAATAATAATTATATAGTATTGCGATCATTTGATTTTTTAAAAAAATATTATATCAATATAACAAGAATATTATTTATGGTAAAACTTTAGTTTACGGTCCAGTTCTCTAGTTGATTATATGCTTATTATAGGATATTGGCTGTTTACTTATAAAGCACATATTAATCATATTCTCTTAATAGTATTTATTAGTGAGAATTGGACTATAATCTAAAGTGTGACCTTATTTATTAATCAAATGATAATCGAGACATAAATTAAACATCGTAGCAACATCCTATTTATTGATAACTCATTTAATGGGATGAATCTTAAAATATCACATTTTAAATCTGTGTTTTGGTTGTTTTCTTCTTTAGGATGAGCTTCCCTTTCGTGCTGGAGACATTATATATGTTTTTGGGGAAATGGACAGTGATGGATTTTATTATGTAAGTATTACAACTCTGTCTACCATGCATGCATTTTTTTTGTAAAGATCATGAGTTAAAGAATGAATGTTTTATTGATCCAGGGGGATCTACATGGTTATCGAGGTCTTGTGCCATCAAACTTCTTGCAACCACTGCCTTGGGATTAAATTAAATGAGTCATAAATCAAGAACAGAAGAGTGACCTCAGATTGTGACTCACTTTATTGAATTCAGCTCCAACTCCATTCTTGCTTTTTTTTTTGGTCATTTTTTTTATATAAAGTGTCTTTTTTCCTGTAATGTACTGTACATGACACTATGCTTATTGCTTATTGCCCTTTTACCCTTATTGCACTCGACCTTCTCTCTACATGTTCACTAACTTTAGCTCAAGTACGCACATTAAAGGGAATTCATTTCAGTATAACACAAGGGCTTTGGGAAGCAGCTAGTGTATTAGCCTTAAATAACTGATAATGGCAGTTTAATAAGTATGTTTTTTTTTACTTTATAAGTAAGTGCGTCTTCTTTATATGATTTAAGCTATTTTTGTAACGTCATTCTTCTGTGTTATTTTAACAACTCCGCACTCTGTTTTTCACACATATTTGCAGTCATTTAATTTCCACATTTCATAATTTCTTCAATATACAAATTTAATGGGCATACATACAGATAAACACTTAAAAAACTAAAACAGTCGCATTACAATCAGCCATGAAACACATAAATATTTCATAGATGGGACATTCATATTCAGCATCTTTGGTGGTCCATCGCAGCCAACAGTACACTCATCCATAAAGTAGGAAACACTACAGCGTGTAAAGACCTTTAGTAGTGCTGTCTACTTTATGAGTGACTGCACTGTACCTCTGAAGTTCCCGCCTCGTCTCTTTGTGGTCCAATCGTCACATTGCATGCTTCCTCTTATCTCCATGTGCTCCAAATGTTCATTTTACAGATATTTGTTAAACCTGTAAGAAATGAAATCAAAATAATGTATTTAAAGAAGTCAAATCATGTTAAAACATGGTTGGATGTTCAGCTGCATCAACTTTATAGTTCATAGTGAGTCATTGTAAACCGTTTAAAAAAGATTTTAATTGCCTATATAGTGCTAAAGCAGGTAAAAATGCAATATTACATGTGAAATGATTCAGTATCATCATGTATAATACATCCAGTTTTACAGCATATTAAGAATTTAATGTGATGTCGAAACCTTTGAAATGGACTACATTACATTTTGGTATTGCTTTTTAAATCTACTTGTAAAAATAAATGTGTACAAAGATAAAAAAAAAATGGGTGTGTAGGCTATTTTATTTTTTTTTAAGTTGTAACAAATTCACTTAACTCTATTCAAAATCACGTCGAGCAGTTTACCATCTTATATAATTTGACCCAAGTTTATAAAAACAAATAAACTGTATATTTATCCAATTTTTTCGAATAAACCGAAGAGCAGTGACTTACCAGTTCTCTGCCGACTTGATCCCGGAAACAACAGAGAAAAGAGAAAGAAGTTGTCGCCTTTTAACACTTTTTAGGCCACATGGTGCAAACCACAGGAAGAGGCCCTGCAGTCACTGTCTTAAAGAAGCACAAATTCGCACGCCTATTGGACTACAGCGAGTTTCGTTTGAAGACAGACTCAAACTAATTCCTTTTAAGGGCATTTTAACCGATAAAAGTCAGATCAGAAATGACAGAATAAACCCTGTGGTCTTTAGCATATATCAAAATCACACAAAGAAATAAAGAGGAAGTCTAGTAAACATGTGATCAGATTGCACTAGGCTTCCACATTCTCTGACTTTGCATCTTTAAAGCTACATTATTCCATTTTCAGCTTAAATTGGTGTGTGTTGGTTTACGAGAAAGTATCGTCAATGGAAGATGTACACATGTTTTGTTTTAATTATAACCAATAGCTTCACAATGGCTTAAATATATGAAGAATGATCTTGCGTGTAGCTCTTCCTGAGGGGGAGGGGTGCTTGTTGTGCAAAACCACAGTTTCATCAGCATATTGCATATTGCTACTTTGAGAATATGAGGGTGCGTCATATAAATGTCATATGAGAGTTGTTTAAAATGATGGCTTGCTAATTTTACACTGCTTTATGGTCAGATGCTGATAATAGTGAAACAGTTATAACCTGTTGAAATATTGTGCGCACAGTTAATCAAGCAGATATGAGTCATATGTACATCAAAATGTAATAGGAGTCACTCTTTCTTCGGTGTCACTTTTCCTCAGATGCTCGAATTGAAAGACTCTTTGTCCCAGACCCCCTGAGTATGTACTTTTTGATAAACAGGAGGCCGTTTTCCCATTTCCCTGAACATGATGTACACGAGATGGACTTGGTTGTCTAGACAACCCCAACCTCAAACTCTCGTTTGACACGCACAGAAGGAAGTGGGGGATGTGCAGACACTTCTCTATGATGTACAATGATAATGTACCTATAGTGTTGTAAAAAAAACAGACATCCCTTCTTCAAATATGGGCAGTTTGGGCTATGTGGGCTTTCAGAAAGTAAACGCTACTTTTCACATTTGTACAAGTTTATTCACCCAAAAATGAAAATTCTGTCAGTAGGCTAATTACTCAACCTCGTGTCGTTCCACACCAGTGAACTTTGTTCACTGAAAGATTTCTGTCCCTCCATTGACAGCTAGGCTACACAACGACTACTTTGATGCTTCACAAAGTTAATAAAGTTCATAAAGGTTTAGTACAAATTTTCTGTGAAGAACAGATTGAATTTAGGCTTTTATACACACATAAACATCCATCAAGGCACGCATAAGATAGGGTAGACGGAGGCTCAAGCATGCTAAAAGAAAATGTTTAAAAATGACCCCTGAAATGATGACTTCTGGTGAATATTGTATGCTATCATATCAGAATTAGACTTCTGGAATGTTCTTTCCAGTGCAAAAAAAATAAAATTTTATTTTTCTTAATTATTCTTAATTATTCTTATCATAGCCTAAATGTCTTCGGAAACTCCTTTTCCTGGATTTACTGAAGCCTTGTAAAACGCATTTGCAGCATAGACAATTTGCTGCTGCACAGCTTGCACGTTGAGCGTCTGGCTCGCGCGCAGGCGCCTCTCATGTGCGAGTGCGACCACCAAACATTTTTAACAGCCTTTTAATGACATCTTTTATTCTCTTTTAAAGACTAAAGCTGGAGATCATCCAGCTGACAGGTTTAGTGTTCTAATAAATAATTAAATTAAATATAAGTAAAAATACTTAATAGTCACGTGACATACAACTCTACGTTATTACACGTCAGAGCCCGCCAAGTGGGCGTGACCTCACAGTAGAACAGATCTTCGTTCATTCATAGTCTGTCTGACATATATATTAGAAGCTATGTTTGTCTGTCATGGTTTTGTACTGAATTGATTCTCAAAAATACGGAACAAAGTGCGTTCCGTATCAGTTCATTATGGAACAAGACAGGCTATATGTCAATTACGGGACGATTATGTTTTATACGAAACAGTTAGCAACCCTTGGTCAACAAACTGCTATATACTTTAGTCACGATCTAAACTAGGCTATAGTAGTAGGCTATATAAATAAAATATATAAAAATTAATTCTAAATATAAAATAGAACATTTATAAATATAGTTTTATCATTATTTTACATATTGTGTTTTGTTAAAATAATAATTGACCTTTTTACAATGAAATTTTATTATATTTTATGATTTTACATTTGTGTCTGGGACAAGGGTGAACCAATAAAATTTTTTACACACAAAACTTATTCAAACGTGGTAAAAGTAAATGATGGAGGCGTGAGTAAAAGTTTCTAAGAAAGTCAATGTGTTATGTGACCTTCATACAACAACAAGAAAAGAGATATAATATGAAGATCTGTCAGTAATAAAGAGCAATACCTGAGACATGAAAATGCCCGAAGCTGAAAAGACAGGCAACTAGTTAATTGCAGCAGTTTGCATATCCAACGTGTGCGCGCTGTGTGTGTGTGTGTGTGTGTGTGTGTGTGTGTGTGTGTGTGATACACTAGCATCAGAGTTTATGAAACCTGAAGATTGAATCTAAAGGTCAAACCTGCTAGAGGATGTTGTTTGCCTCTCTTTTATCAGACACACAAATCACGAATGGATCCATTATCAACTCCGCCATGAACTTTATAGTGTTTTAGTGTTTTACAGCTGTTTCTATGCTTGTCCTGTAAAATGTATTCTCACAGTTTAAACAGGAGGCATTGAACTTGAGCTTATCTACATCTATTTCTGTACAATACTGGATTAACTCCTGAAATAAACTCCGGTGTAGATAACCTTTTTAAAATAACTGCGTGAAAAGATGGGTATTATCCAGACAAATTTAGATTAGGGTTAATTCAATTATCTTATTTCCCTTATGTAAGACAAGCTAAATGCCTTTATTGTGACTTCGCATTTTAGAGACATAAATATTAAAAGATTTCCCCCTTTTTTAATGCATAAATATCAACCAATGACTTCAGACATTTCAAATACAATCAAGAAATTGTCATTAAGGTTCATTAAACATTTTAACAGAAAACTTATTTTGAAGAGTACTTATGCATTTAAGTAGGCCTACTGCATGGTTAGAGTTGGGAATAGTGGTTGGTTTAGTTGCCTCGTCTGTAATTATGCATAATTAGGCCTACTGTAAGGCGGCCTAACGTACATGTAACAAGAACGCTGTAAAATAAAGTGTTACCAACTTTTACATCACTATTAATTTCGTGTCTTTTTTTTATTTAGAGTTAAAAAAAGGAAAAAATTTGAATGACAGCAGAATGTATATTTTATAATCACCACTAGATGGCATGACAATGTAAATATCAGAGACTGTAACTGCCAGCTTTTGTACCTTTTTTTTCTGAGAGTGTACTTACAACAGTTAATAAATGTAACATTCTTCTTACGTTTTCATTAATTTTATTTCACTGTTGTCATGTTTAGCTACTACTGCTCCAAGAGAGTGCAACAACATTATCCAATCTTTAGTGATAATGGATAATAACTGATAATATCTGACACATTTTATGTTGTAGCAGGCCTAGTTGTAAACGAGTGAAAGTTTGTTATGGGTGGAGAACATCTTTATCAGATAATAGCTACAATGAATTACTCTTTACTAAGAGGAAACGTTATGATACATTTTAATACAAATGAGTTTTATGGTCTCCAGGTTTACGTAAAAGGAGGGCACACTGAGATAGCGCAGTTATAAAATCTTCCACTGATGAATCCCATCATAAAATACATTCTCTCCCTTTAGCAGGATTGATCTTTCAGGGGGATTTTTTTCAATTCAAATACTAAGGATGAATGTGCTCTATCTTTCCATTCTTACTATTTTATGCAGGTTTGCTTCAAGTGCAGGTAGGTTAAAATATTTTTGTATATCGTATCATTTATACAAACAGATTTAGCAACTGCTGAATTTAGGGAGCTTTGAGTTCATCAATCCATCATTTTGGATTTCGTTTTATTGGCTTTTAGTAAACATCTGCACTGTGGGTGTTGGAAGGCCTGTCTATACAGCACAGTCCAAATGAAGAGTTCAGATGCAAAAGCCTCTAAGTGCCATTTGAAATTTTCTTCTAAAATGATGATTTTTATCAAGCTTATATATTTAAGTTTAGTAATTTCACTTAAATGACAATGAAGATTGAATTGTCATTTAAGTGAAATTACTGAACTTAAATATACAAGCTTGATAAAAATGATCATTCTAGAAGAAAATTTCAAATGGCACCTAGAGGCTTTTGCATCTGAACTCTTCAAATGAACTTTGTCTGCAAGAATATTATCTATAATGGAATTATAGTGTATTAAGATTTCTGGCAACAAGAATTGTTGCTGTGCATTAGAATACAAATGTATTAACTGAATAAGTAAATATAGACTTTGGTCTGCATTCGTGCATAATCTATTACATGTGATTGTATTATTATTAATGCATTACAATATATACATTCGTTTAGAATGACTGAACTTTATTTTCTTCCAGACTGGTGTTATCAGTCCCAAGTAACGTGCAACAACACGTGTGTAGGTGAGAACTGACCCTAGTTCAGTGTATTACACCAGAATCAGAATCTGTGTTTTGTTTTTACTGTATCTTTGGTCAAATAAGACGCAGCAGCTGTTTTTTTTTTACATTTTTTTTTTTTTAGGACCGGATAAATGGGCAACCGTTGCCAAAAATTGTGGAAATAGAAAACAGTCACCCATTAACATTGTAACAAAGAACACTTCTGCCGACAGTCATCTGACCCCAGTGCAGTTTACAGGCTATCAAGAGATTATCAGTGGTGTCCTTACAAACAATGGACACACAGGTAAGTGTAACTTAAAGGGATACTCCACCTGAAAATGATAATTCTGTCATCATTTACTCGCCCTTGTTGCCGACCTGTATGAGTTTCTTTGTTCTGCTGAACACAGAAGAAGATATTTTGAAGACTGTCTGTAACCAAACAGTTGATGAGCCCCATTTACTTCGATAGTAGGCCTATTTTTTTTTTTTTAGGCAGTCAATGGCTATACGTCAACTGTTTGGTTACAGACTGAACATATCATTTGAGTTCAAAAGAAAAAAGAAACTCATACAGGTTTGGAAAAACATGAGGGTGAGTGAATTATGACAGAATTTTAATTTTTGGGTGCCATTTTTGGGTGAACTTATTCTTTTTATTGAATAGCCTTTACATATGGGGCGCCATTTGAAAAGCGGCTCACGCTGAAATTATCAGCAAAATTTTGTCACATTTAGCTTCAAACTATGTTTAAAAAACTGGTATGAATTTTCGACGGTCACTTTTTAGCACATTTACATTTGTCAACTTACAATCTAAATATTAAATGTTACACCTAAATGTTAAATCTAATTCTAAATGTTAAACCTAAATCTAAATGTTAAATCTAAATCTAAATGTTGAATGTAAATCTAAATCTAAATGTTTCAGGTGAAACTAAATATTTAGCTAATATGCATATTGAAAATGCTGGTAACCAGAAGTTCCAAAATACTGTACTGTAAAAGCTTGAGGATGACGTCAGTGTTTAGTTATTAGCGCGATAATCCATGCAAGAGTCCATTTCCCCGGATGAGATGGTTTTTATTCGTTATTTGACACTATAAACACTGACCTCCTCGAGCTTTTATTTTGGCACTTCAGATTACCAGCATTTTTTAATTTGCATATTAGCTAGGCTAAATATTTAGTTTCAACCAAAACAATTAGATTTAGATTTATGTGTAACATTTAAAATTTAGATTTAACTATTTAAAATATCTCTAAGTTGACATATATAGATTTAAATGTGCTAATAAGTGACCGTCAAAAAACATAGTTTGAAGCTAAATGTGACAAAATGTTGCTGTTATTTTCAGCGTGAGCCGCTTTACAAACGGCGCCCGATATTTATTTCACTTTATAAACACTTTTTGTCATATATTTTTCCATCTTTAGTGCAATTGAATCTTCCAAATGGAGCAAAAATTAACGGGGCCAATTTAGGATCCACGTACAAAGCTCAGCAGCTTCACCTGCACTGGGGCAAGAACGGTGGACCTGGATCAGAACATACAATAGATGGAGAGAAATACCCTATGGAGGTATTATGCTTTTGAGACAAGTTTTATTCTTACACCTATTTGTAAATCGACAAGGAACTGTAATCATGTATTATGTATTTTTAACAGCTGCACATTGTACACATAAGAGATAATTACACCTCCGTGGAACAAGCCATTGGCGACCCTTCTGGGGTGGCTGTTCTTGGATTTTTTTATGAGGTAAAACCACAGATGCATTGGTCCCACTTTAAAATAAGTGTTTACTGACATTTAAATCAAGGATTGATACAATGCGCTTATTACATGTTTTTACATTGGACTTGTTTTTTAAAATATACCTGCATTTAAGCTGTAAATAACTTCTCAAATACATCTAAAATTACACTGTCGACCCTTCCCTGACCCTTAACTCACCCTTAAACCATATCTTAATAGCAACAAAAGTATTGTGCAATAGAACATAAACAGAATAAGTGCATTGTACCTATTTTTTTATTTTTTTATTTACTGTATGTAGCTAAAGATACCTAATATAAAGTGAGACTGATGTGGTCATAAATGTTTGTTAATTACAGCTAATAAAATATTTTATTGTGTCTTATCTTCAGGAATCAGACAATGCCAATAACAAATATGAAGCCATCATAAATTCTCTGAAAAATATTACACACCCTGGTAAGGTTTTTTTTTTATCTACTTTGAAGTTTAATATATATGTTGGTTATATCTTGGTTATATGTCACTCAAGGACACAGGCTATCTCTAATATGACCTGTATAATGTATTATTGTTCAGCAGCCCGCTATATTTAGAGAGGAGAAGAGGAACTTCATGACAGTTTATAAATATATATATATCTTTGGTAACACTTTAGATTAGGGTCCAATTCTCACCATTAAGTAGTTCCATGTATTATTAAGTAGGCCTAGTATTGCATAGCATGCATATGAAGATATTGGTTTAATTATAAAGCGCATACGGTAATGCCTTATTCTGCATGACCATATTTTACCTCTCTTAAACCTAAACTTAACACCTTACTAACTTTTATAAGCAAAAATTAGGAGTTTATTGAGGCAAAAGTATAGTTATAGTGAATAGTGAGAATTGGACCCTATCTAAAGAGTGAGCACATCTTTTTTAGGCACCAATGTGACACTTGGATATGTATCATTGGACATGCTTATCCTCCCCCATGATGAATTGGAGAAGTATTATCGCTACGAGGGGTCTCTCACCACACCAGGCTGCTCTGAAGCTGTGGTCTGGACAATATTTGAGAAAACAATACCACTCAGTAAAGAACAGGTAGTTTATTATATGTACAGTATCCACCTTATTATATGACTTCCAATTCATTCGCCTGCATCACGATAAAAGTTATCTTCTTATAACTAGAAGAATATCACAGTGCCATAAACAGTCAGTTGGCAATATCAAGCAGCATACCGAGCTGTTTTGTACAGATAGAAATAACAATAAGCGGATGACACTGGACGCCAGACACATTCAGTTTGCAAATGTAAAAAGGTGGATAAACAAGTGAAATTTTAACAGAGAATGAGGATATACTAGTCATATCATAACCCTTATCCTTGTCTTGCAGCTTTCTGTATTTTCAAACTTGATGTTTTCTGATGGGACTGCCATGGTAAACACGTACCGGCCCGTTCAGCTGCGGTATGGACGTAAGGTGTATTATTCTAGGAGTTTTGTTTTTTGTGTTAGCACTGCCTTATTGATCAGCTCTGTTTTCACATCACTCTATGTTCTCACAGTCTGAGGCTGTGCTTTTGGGGTACTGCTCGAAACAAGTTTTTTTTTTTTTTTAAATAATAACTTATGAATTCAAGACAAATCAAACTTTATTGATGTTCAGCTATACTATTTTCTAACATAAAATGAACCTAAAGCACACCCCACATCAGAGGCCTTCTCGAATGATTTATACAAAAGTCATAATTGAACTGATATTGTTGAAAAAACTGTTGTATGAAACATTATTTAACTGTGTCTGTTATAAGAATGTAAAATATATATTGTGCTGTTTTGACATATTTGTGGAAACGATGTGAAAAAGGACATGGTTTGACACTGCAAATATATAGAGGACAGAAATACAGTTCACATGAGACAATACTTAAGAAGCCTTTTGGGGGATTTATTGTAAATACTAATTTTTTTTGTCTGTATTGTTCTAATTGTAAAACAAAAAACTAAATAAAATAAATAAATGGTCTAACACATTGATAGTCGTAGATTTCAATGTATGAACTAACCCTGTGAATATTTTACAGCCTGAACCCTGGCCACCTAGATTTTATTGCACCTGTTAAGTTGTATGGGATATAAGGGAAGTTAGTTTTCATTGGCCAGATTCTTTGGAGACATTATTCATTGACACGAAAAATTGGGTGATTTTATATTGAAATTAGGCCTATCTGGCAACCGATAAAAGAGACAAGAGGGAGAGAATGAAGTGGGAACCTTTGGGATTTTTACAGTTACAAATATCAAAAAGATTAGGGAAAATATAAAAAAATAAAAACTTTGCTAAATGTGTATTGTGAGGTCCTGGGTGGAAATCCAGCAGTTCTGTCTAAAGGTTTTAAAAACAAACTTGGGATGGAAAGTTTTGCTGGACCTGGCAACCCCCTGATGATCAGTGCAAACTCACATTTGAAGAAGTGTGACCGCAGTCAGCTGCCCAGCACTTGATATTCCTAAGAGTAACTTGCAACATGGATCGCTGGAAAGGCAGGGTTGCTCTTGTCACTGGGGCTTCAGTGGGAATCGGAGCTGCAATCGCAAAGTCTCTTGTGCAGCAGGGCATGAAGGTGGTCGGATGTGCCAGAAATCTAGAGCAAATACAGGTAATCTAGTGCTAACGAGCAAACAGCATGTCACTGCATGCACTTGCGAGAAGTAGCCCAAATGTTGCGTAGAACTAATACGAACTGAAGAATCGCGTGTTCTTTTATTTCTTGCAGAATTTGGCAGCGGAGTGTGTCAGTAGTGGATTCAGCGGCACTCTGTTCCCGTATAAATGTGATCTGTCTGTAGAGGAAGAAGTGTTATCCATGTTCTCCTGGATCAAAGTTCAACATCAGGGCATTGACGTGTGCATTAATAATGCTGGTTTGGCTCTCCCAGAGCCTCTATTGAGTGGCAAAACCAGTGGCTGGAGGACTATGATGGATGTAAGTAGTCTAACTGAATACTGTAGAGTAGCGTTTAGACTAGACACGACAAAGCGAGTCAGTGATTCAATTTAGTTCTTTCAGTGAGCCGAGTCAAAGAGTATAGATAGAAGAACAAGAGGCGAAACTCTGATGCTTTTTTGGTAACAGCCACTAGATGGCGCTTCGGGAGCGCGGCCGCCAAATCGGGGTGAAAGTTCCAACTACAGGAGGGTCGCGGCCCACAAGGGGGCCTCAGCGAGCTCTGTGGGGGGTCGCGGCATATTTTGAAGGTTTGAGCAATGAGCAAAAGTCCTTAACTTTTTTCTGTTCAAAATTTACTAAATGTATATAATGAGTGAGTTCATCATGAATCCATTTTCCAATCTGTGTTTTTGTCTTATCCTGAACAACTATGGTACACCTATAATAAGTGTTTACATTGGGACTATTTTACACTGGTTCGGATCGCTGCCGCTGCGGAGTACTACAGTACCTGCGTGACTCGTCATAGACGTACACAGATAGAAGTAGTTCCGGCTACACTGTTCTTTCCGAAAGACGCATTATTCTGTTAATAAATGCAAGTTTATTATCACTCGCTATTGCGCCAAAAGCGTAAAAATAAAGCCTCACATTGATAAAGCCTCATAGATAACATGCAGATCAGTCATTTAATAGCAGATCTATTCTTTTTTTTAACCTAAACACCAGTGTGAATATTTTTATTTTTGCATTTCAAATAGGGCCAATTAATAGGCTTCTCCTTGGCTTCTCCTAGGCTTACGTTGTTAAATTACAAAGGGCCTACTGATGTTTTAGTCATTGTATTTTCAATATTATAGGCTATTATTTGTGCATAAATATACAGTTTGTTTGAAAAAAAAAAAAACATATTTTGTTATCCTTGCTGCAAGGTTACAATAGTGATAATATCATTAAATGTGAAAGGGGACCCTAAAATATTTTCTTGGGAAAAAGGGGGTCACAGACAAAAAAAGGTTGGGAACCACTGAGTTACTGGACAACATTGATGCGCTGTGTCCGTTATCCTATAACTAACTGTCACTTTGGACATTGGCTATGTTTTTTTGTTTGTTTACATGGTCTTGCTTTAACGTCATTAATATAAGATAGGCTAGTACTGCAAAAAAAAAAAAAAAAAAAAAAAAAACTGTTTACTGTAAAGCTATTTGCGGTTATATATTTATTTTCAAACATTTATATTTTAGTACAACATTTATTTGCTGAATTAATTTATTTCATTGATAACTTATTTTTGTAAGTAACGTTATGTGTACCTCCCGGGAAACGGTCTAATGTTATTTTAACTTTATGAACTGATATCACTTTATTCTTACCTATCACACTTAATGTGGAGACTGGAGAGTGGAGAGTATAATGAATTAAATCCTTGAACTTCCCTGTCTCAAGTTATGTGGGGGTAAAAGCCCGGTTAAGTAGCAACCTCTTTTTAACTGCTATAAAGTTAACTGTTGTGAGTTAAATAATCACCTAGCCTAATTATTTCAACCTAAAAATGAAGGCTGCTGCTGGGCGCTGGTCTTGCAATGTAACGCTCTATTGGCTTTCACTTCTTGTCAATATAGCCTACGTTCTCGTTTCTCAATATGCGTACTTGTCTGTACTTGTGTTCTTGTGGACTTGTGAAACGTCATCAGTCGCTGCCCAAGTACTGTCTGTTCCAATTCAAAGTTCACATCTAACCAAGTCCACTTCAAATCCCCGGATGTGTTCTTGATCCGCCACGTTTACCGAGGATGCATCGAGAGGTGACTTGTGTGGACTTGAGATAACCCAGAATGCACCTCGCACCAACCAGCAAGCGCCAAGGAGAGGAGAAAATCCGCGAAATATCAAAATACTACTGTTATTGAGTCTGTTTAAAGTAACTTTTTGCTTTATCAATAAATGGCTTTTACTCCTAAATGTTTTACTGATTTAAAAATAACTCCTCAGACTGAACTCATGAAATAAAGAATTTAACTTTTTTCTTTCAGGTGAATGTCATTGGCCTGTCAGTGTGCACCCGTGAAGCTTACCAGTCCATGAAAGAAAGAAATATTGATGATGGCCACATCATTAATATTAACAGGTACAAGAATGTTTTATTATATATTTTTTTTGCCTGTCTTCAAATTCCTGCCTGTGCCGAGGCAAAAACCATTCAATGTCCTTAAATCTCTTGTTGTGTTTTAGCATGAGTGGACATCGGGTTGTTAACAATGCTGATTCACACTTCTACTCTGCCAGCAAATATGCTGTGACTGCTCTCACTGAAGGTCTCCGGCAAGAGTTACGCGAGGCTAAAACACACATACGTGCCACGGTAAGAACAAGATGAACACTTTATTTAGGTATGATTATTACATGTCTAAATTTCTAAGACTTGTTAGCACTAAGATCTCTCTTTCTTTAACAGTGTATATCTCCTGGTTTAGTGGAGACAGAATTTGCTTACCGGTTCCTTAGTCAAAACCCAGAAAAGGCTGCTGCTACATATAAAAGTATAACGGTAGACAAATCCTGATTCTTGTTTATACAATATGTTGTAGATTATTTTTTACACTTTTAAATATGTAAATGTTATTTACAGTGCCTGCAAGCAGATGACATAGCAAACGCAGTGGTGTATGTCCTAAGTGCTCCTCCTCATGTTCAAGTAAGTGTCATCCATCACTGGAGAAAACTATTGTGCTATAAATGATTGCTGAGATTGTTCGTATACATATAATGAGCTTGACTCCTGTGGTCATTTTCAACAGTGTATTTTGTAGGAAGATTTCATGTAGTTGTTTTTTTCCTTCCCCATCTCTAGATCGGTGACATTCAGATGAGGCCTGTGGAACAGTTGATTTAACTTGAAGAGATAAACAGGAACAGGCATCACTGACATCTCAATCATCTTAAAAGCTCAATATAGTTTTAAATTTTAAATGTTGGGAAAACTACAAGAATGTCCCTATAAACTGTTTCTGCACTCCAGATATTTTGAAATGCAAATTACAAGAACACAGAGCACTGATCTGTCAAATCACGAAGTTTACATTTTATAATTACTTATAAAATCTATATGTTATATGAAAATCACTATAATTAGTATTGGAGAATGTATGCAAAGTGCGTTGGGTGGTTTTGGGATCAAATGCTTTACATTATACTGATGAACATACAGTTGTGATCAGACTTATTGGCACCCCTGGTAAAAATGATCAAAAATATCTATAAAAATAAATCTGCATAGATTATCCTTCTGATATTTCAATTAAAAAAATAGCAAAAACTGTAACCTTGCCTTTCAATGAAATAAGTGGGGGGGAAATTACATTATGAAATAAATGTTTTTCTCCAAAACATACTGGCCATAATTATTGACACCCTCTTATTAAATTCCCTTTTCCAAGATAACAGATCTAAATTTTCTCCTATAATGCCTGATGAGTTTGGAGAACAACTGACAAGAGATCAGTGACCATTCCTCCATACAGACTCTTCAGATTCCCAGATCCATGTTGGTGCTTCTCTTTAGTTCAGGTCAGGGAACTGGGACGGTCATGGGAGAAGCTACAATTTGTGCTCAGTGTCTCTTTTGTGTTGATTTTGATGTTTGTTTTGGATCACTGTCCTGATGGAAGATCCAACCCTGGCCCATTATAAGATTTCTAGCAGAGGCCATCAGGTTTTGATTTTTTTATCTGTTGATATTTGCTAGAATCTATGATATGTATCTGAACAGAAGTCCAGGACCTCCAGCAGAAAAATAAGCCCACAACATTAAAGATCCAACGGTTTATTACATTTTAAACATGGGGTACTTTTTATCCTTGTGTGCACCAAACACATCTAGTGTGTTTGCTGCCAAAAAACTCTTTTTTTAGTTTCATCTGACCACAGAACCCTGTGCCGTTTTAAGTTCCAGTCATGTCTGACAACTGAATTTGCTGGAGTTTGTTCTTGGATGAGCCAGGAGGATTTTTCTTGAAACCCTCCCAAACAACATGTGGGGATGTAGGGATTGTTTGATTTTTTGTTTTATATATAGGCTTTCTGACACCAAGAATCAACTAATCTCTGCATTCTCCATCTGTGATCCTTGATGAGTCTTTGACTCTTTTTCCACTCAAACTTTCCTCCTCCCTGTGCATTAAGGCAATATAAATACCCGTCTTCTTCCTGGCAGATTCGCAACATCTTTAGTTGATTGGAACTTCTTAATTATTGCCCTGATGGTCAAAATGGGGATTTTCAACTCTTTAGCTATTTTCTTACATCCACTTCCTATTTTGTGAAGCTCAATAATCTTTTGCTGGACATCAGAACTATAATTTTTGGTTTTACTCATTGTAGTGGATGAGAAATAAGAGAATTTGGCCTTTGTGTTTCCTCATATTTAAACTCCATGTGAAACAAGAAGTCCTAGCTAGACAATTACATGTTTTTCACCCTGGTGTGTTAATCGTTTATCGTGGCCAATGTGTTTTGGAGAAAACTAGCCACAGCCATCTTTGATCATATTTACCAGGGGTGCCGGTAATTATGACCACAACTGTATATGTTTTGTAGATTGTTCCGGAATTTTTTTTTTTTTTTTAAATACATTTCTGTTTAGTTCTGTCTGCAGTTCTGAGCTGCTATTTTTAATTGATGCACTTATAAAAAGGAGGGATTTATATAATGATTTTCTTCTAAATGAAACTAAATTGCTATTAAATAAAATTGCTTTGAAAAGAAAAGTGCCAACTGCTGAACAGAGAACATTTATAAAGTCAAGGAGAAATAAATTTTATACATTTTATTACAAACATGGAGTGAGCACAGGCTCAAAATAGCTAAATTTGTAGCAGCAAAATAGGCCTAATGAAAGATTATGTGTATTGTTTTTCAGTGAAAGCCACCAATAACCATTCTGTCAGTGGCGTTAAGACTGAATATGCAGTCAGCTATATTATATTAAGACAAATTGATGCAATATACTGCATTGAGGGCGAATATGTCTAGCACTCCCGGAACGTGATGCTTCCAAACTAAAGAACATGGGCACAAAATGGGACGCAGAATTTGCAGAAACAATCCTAACGGTTACACGTCGTTTACTGAACTGAATTTAACATGCAACACTGGAAAATGCGGAAGACGCAATTAGTGAGCTCTTGCACACACAACAAAGCGAGCCCATATTGTTTGAATTCACAATTATTTGCGACCGCAAAAAATCTCGGAGGAACTGAGTGATCAGGTGTGGCATAGATCGTGCATTGCTAGGTATTGGTTAGATTCTTAGACTGTGTGCACATTCATTAACAACAGGGAATGCATATGAAGTAAAGATCACAGCAAACTGTCAGCTACTCTTCTGTTCGAGTTTAGTGAAGTTGTTACGTGGATCGCTGGAAAGGCAGGGTTGCTCTTGTCACTGGGGCTTCAGTGGGATGGAGCTGCAGTCGCAAAGTCTCTTGTGCAGCAGGGCATGAATGTGGTCGGATGTGCCAGAAATCTAGAGCAAATACAGGTAATAGGCTACATTGGCTTATTCATTTGTAGCAGGGGATTAAAGGTTTGCGTATGATGAACAAAATGTCTGATTCATTAGTGATTGATTACCTTTCTGTTTGGGCTACTTTTTTAAAGTTTGACAGCACCCTGGTCAGTTAATGGAAAAAAAAGAGCAGCATGAACTTTATTCTAAATTTCTCACTTAATGTTTTCCACAATAAAAAGTCATACAGGTGTAGAACAACATGAGTATGAAAAAATTAAGCTTTACATTAAGCTTTACAAAATTAAGCTTTACAAAATTAAGCTTTACATTTCTGTCATCAAACTCATTTGTCTTTTGTTGGCCACATCACATTTTGATAATATAATCATAATGTTTGAAACGCTTTACATGACAACATTTCTTGTAAGACATGCTACAGGGAACAATGTGTTCATGATAGAGTTCTAAAAATTGGTAGGTAGCTATAATAATTAACTTATGCACAATAACAATTTGTTTGCTTGCTCTGCTATATTGCTTGCTGTTTCTCTGCCAATGGTTTTGAGCTTTGACCCTTCATGAAATGTAAATCTTGAAGTGTTTTTCCATTTATAGAATTTGGCAGCGGGGTGTGTCAGTAGTGGATTCAGCGGCACTCTGTTCCTGTATAAATGTGATCTGTCTGTCGAAGGATGAAGATAAAAAAACATATAATGTGTTTAAAAAGTGCCTAATCTTAGCAAAAATGTCCAAGATTATTCAAGAAGAACAATGCAGTGTAGCCTACAGTATATTGATCCTGGAAAATGTATAATGCTACAGCAGTAATGAATGTTCTGAGTTTTAAAGCCTTCATGCAATATCAATCTCTAACTTTTTCTTTTGCAGAATTTGGCAGCACAGTGTGCAGTATGGATTCAGCGACACTCTGTTCCCGTATAAATGTAAACTGTCTGTAGAGGACGAAGTGTTATTCATGTTCTCCTGGATCAAAGTTCATTGACGTTTGCATTAATAATGCTGGTTTGGCTCTCCCAGAGCCTCTATTGAGTGGCAAAACCAGTGGCTGGAGGACTATGATGGATGTAAGTCACAGAATAAATATGTATTTCCATTCTGACAGTATGCAGCTAAACACTGATTTTAGTCAATTATTTCAAACATTTCAGTTGAATGTCATTGCCCTGTCAGTGTGCACCCGAGAGGCTTACCAGTCCATGAAAGAAAGAAATATTGATGATGGCCATATTAAAAAAATATGCAGGTGTTAATTAGTGCAATTTTGATTTGACACAATGTGAAAAATACTTTAAGAGCGTTTTCTGGTTTTCTTGAAAAAATAAGAAAACAAGTGCCAATATTCAAGAGCGAACTGAAAGTATGCAATATCAAGGATATAAAAAAGTATCTTATATTGGAGCCTGCTCATTATCGCCATTTATTCTAAAGAGTTTTTAAAGGGACAGTTCAACCAAAAATGAAAATTCTGTCACTATTACTCACCCTTATCGTTCCAAACCTGTGCAACTTCCAGTCATCTTTGGAACACAAATGAAAATCTTATTGATGAAATCTGAGAGATTTCTGTCCCTCCGTTATGATTTACAGCTAAGCAACTGACACTCAGCACTTAAAAAAAGTTCATAAAGATATCGTAAAACGAATCCATATTGTGTGTTATTTGCAAATGACTGTCAACAGGGGACAGAAAACTCTCAGATTTCATCAAAAAGATCTCTGTGTTGTGTTCCGAAGATCAACGAAAGTCTTACGAGTCACTCGAGGGAGCGTATAATTTTTTATTTTTGAGTGAACTATCCCTTTAAGTGTTGCCCAGAATCGCCAATATTATGAAGCTGCAGACTCGGAGCCTGCATCTACAGTCCCCCACCGAGAGTCCCGCATTCTCAGACCCCTCGTTTTTCGAACACAGCGCCTCCAGCTGTTCAAAAGGTCGAATAACACCCACACACAGAGTACAGCGTACGATTATCCAAATGCAATTAAAAACAATAGGATGCAATATTACGGTCTCCAAATAAATTACCCAATAAATATTTGCGTTCCCTATGTGCAGAAAAAAACTAATTGTTACTGATGGAAGGGATACAATTACAGATTGAACTATCTTCAGAAAAATAGTATGTGATATTATATTGTTTTTTTTAATATTTTTTTATTCAAATTCCAATTTTTCTTTCAGTTCAACCTATAATGGTCTAATTAACATTACGATGCTAAGATTACAAAATCTGTTTTTTGATATTTTCAGAATAGACAAAACACCAATAAAATAAACAATTCCTACTTTATTTAAGATAATGATCACCTAAACATCATCTTGCTGTAAAGAAAAAAGGAAGGAAAAAATGTGTTCGTGACTTTACTTTTCGTCTTCAATTGCATTAAAAAACTCATTTATAAGTCGCTTTGCATAATCCTAAAATGATGTTGCTGGGTTAGGCAGGGGCAACTCCATCCATGTATGGTGTACCCTGCCTACAACATAGGACGATAGCACATGTCTTATGATGTTTCAAAGCTAAATTATAAACGTTAGCTATCTAAATATTTTCGGGGGAAAAGGGCGAAAAAACATAGCCTACATTAACGGCTCAAATCTTGTTACAAACTAACTTTATAAATATTCAATGGACTATTCATATGTTGTATCGATGAGCTAAATTAGTTTTATTAAAAAAATGAATCAAACGAGTAGGCTACTACGATTCGCTAAATAAAATTAAAGATAGCCTACTCACGTTTATGTTTATCCGATACAATTTGATAGGAGGCGCTGTCTCGAAAAACGAGGGGTCTGAGAATGCGGGACTCTGGGTGCAGGGGGACTGTAGATGCAGGTCTCCGAGTCTGCAGCTTCATACTACTCCAGAATCGGGGCAAAGGTAAAACAGCCTACTGGATGGGTCGGGACGCTTCATGTTCATTTATAACACTTAAGTGGGTTTGTTTTGGAGGCAGAGGTGTTGTTTATGCCACAAAATGAATTTTGCTGTCATGAAAGCAACAGCAATGGGTCTGATTTGCTTGTTCGAAAAAGAAGTATATTTCAAGTTCATTTTATGTAGTATACTTAAGCAATGTTCAAGTATATTTTTAAGTATGTATGCATTATGTAGTAATTATACTAATGTCACTATGTACTAGTAGTAAACTTGTAAGTGTACTATTTTAATACCGCTTGGGACTAAATTGGCCCACTTTTAGTACATAAAAGTATACGTTTAAGTGTACTATAAGTGTAACAGTAAGTGCACAACTAGTTCATAATTAAGTATCTCATGTGTACTGCAAGTGAATTTATGGGTATACTATAGTTTACTTTTTTTACTGTAATACTTATACTCAGGGGCGTCATGCAAGCCAAAATTCTGGGGGGGCACAATCTGAGACGTTGCAATTGTTTCCTGATGAGTTGATCATGTTAGGGGGGGTCAGGGGGTTTCTCCCCCTGAATTTTTTTTTAATTCTGGCTCCTAAACATACCATTTCAATGCAGTTTGGGAGGGACAGAAATACCTTAACGGAGCTAGCAGCAACCCTCCTCTATCTGAGGACTAAGTTAAAGTATCTTTTTTGTAAGTTTATGTAAAAGACAGGTTGATGAAAGAACTGTAAGCTCAAATTCAAAAGCTTTTAAAGTCTACTTCATTAAAGCATATTTACAGACACACTTACTGTACACTTAGGCCTTCTACACATGTTTTTAAAAACAGTACCATTGCAGTTTTTATGTTATGATTTTAAATATGTGACCTAAGAACGATCTTACATTAAAGGTATATAAAGGGGCTAAGGTCTGACTTTGTGGTTCTCTGAAATTAAGTTATTTTAATATCAATATGTGATGAAGGACTTTGAAAGAAGTTTGACAGATTTCAGTGCTGAATAAGGTTAACACTACCCTGTTTATTTGAGCATATGATTTTGTCGCACCTTTTTTTTCTTTTCTACATGCCATGGGATAAATCAGTGCATGCTGATGAATAGTGGTCTTAATCTGCGTACCCTAGTTTTGCACTGATGTAAAAAGACTGACAGTGACAGACCTCATGTTAGCGAAATGTTATAATCTTTTAACTCTCAAAAAAACTATTAAAAAACATGTATGTTCTTTAACATTAGATTATAATTTTACTGTCTTACCATATGGATGGAATTGATAAGATTTTAACAATAATAATGGCAATGACGTTCTGTTTATCGATCCGATTCTTTAGAATCAGATTCTTTAACGATTCTCTTATTGATTCTTGATAGCATTGTGTGGAAAAATGTAGTCATGTGCTTTTTTTTATTTTTTAAATCTTAAGCTTGAGTAGCCTAAGCAAACTGTACTTTTTATGTAATTCAAGTAATAAATAGAACATTATTGTAAAGTGTTACTGATTAGTTATACACCGATTCAGACGTCTCCCGAGTTCACTGTTGGAAAGATCAGTTGTTTTAACCATTCATTAAAATGAATCGGTTCAAAGGAGTCATTAGTTCGCGAATTGGACGTGTTATGCGCGTTGTATGATTATCCTAGCTGTTAGGACATGGATGTCATGTTTATGTCAGCTGAATGTCCAGAACGCTTCTCAGAGAAGATAAGGCAACTTATTTAGCACAATTCACACCCAGCGGGAAATAAGGGGGGGAAACACAGAATGCTCCACATTAAACTTTCATCTTCCGACCTTTTACCACCGTGTCGATTTATTTTGATTAATAATATGTGCGAGGGTGGGAGAGAGCAAGTTGCAAGAGTTTTGTATGGCAGGCAGTAACCAATAGTCAATAGTTTACGGTTAGACTAGGCTAGCTGATAACACTGCATAACATTGTTGAATACGCAGCTATCAATTCCATAACTTTTGATCAAGTTAAAATGTCCAGGTCAACCATAAATAATCCCACTACCTTTTAATATCATCCGATTACTAATTCAATGCCGATTTGTTGCATTTCCAACTTACCACTCGTAAAACATTGCCAGTTCAACGTGCGAGCTGCTTGTACCGCCGGTGTTCTGTCGATCTGTCCTACCTTGTCAGATTTTCCTACCGTAGCGCAAAATTATAGCCATATCTATCGGTTCTTCCTACCTCGTAAAATCCTACTGAGCGTTTCTGCTTCGCGTCTGTGACTAAGTTACATAAAATATTTCTGTGTAACTTTGCCGAATTTTCTTATTAGGCCATGTTACGGTGATTTTACAGTGCAAAGTACTACCTCTTCAGATTGTCCTATGAAATAAACGATAGGATGATTTTACGTTGCAAAATGCCTCATCAGATTGTCCTACCAGTATGAAATAAACGAGTAGAATGATTTTACGTTAATGTTTTCATGAAAAAAATGCTAATATGAATTTGCTTTGTATGAATGTGAGAGTAAACAGTTCTCATTACTGCTATATATCTTTGTATAGTAATAATTGACAAAAATAGTGAAAAACTTACCTCAGATGAATATCGCGCAAGTAGTAAAATATTATGGGCGTGTTGTTCAGCGTGACAAAAATGACGTATTATTGATGTGCGCATGCGCAGTAAGCCTTGGTAGGACAATCTGACGGGTAGGATGGAATGTCAGAACACCTGTTCATACACAGCAAAGATTCTAAGCGTAAAGCTCTACGCGCGTAGATTTGATACACAGACACCATATTAGGAAAAACGGGCGGGCTAATGCTGACCGATTTATTATTACACATCAAGAAAAAGAATATATTTGAGTCGTTATAGGCTCTGGTAATTATGGAGCATGATAGGAATAAAGGAATCAGGGAAAAAATTAAAATACATTTTAAAAGAATTTAAAAAAAATTATCAGGGAGGAAAAATTTGAGGGGGCACGTGCCCCCTCACTTTGAATGGGCATGACGCCACTGCTTATACTTTGAATACTTACTTATACTTTTAAGTATTTCTGGATCAAAAGATTGAGTAAGAACAGGACAAATATACTTGCTTTTCTCTCAGTATAAGTCAAGTACACTTAAGTGTAATTTGAAGTATATTTCTGAGAAGTACATATAGTATACTTCTGAGAAGTACAGGAAAAATAAACTGAAAGTATACTTTCTTATTTTTAGTTTAAAAGAAGTATACTAATGGCACACTTGAATAAACTTCTTTTTCGTAAGGGTATACTAGAATCGGAAGTGTGTTGCTATTGGCTAGATTCTCAGGGAGTGTTCGTTTACATAAGGGGTTGCGGTGAAGATTTGTCTGAAAACTCAGCTACTCTTCAGTTAGAGTTTAATGAACTTGTAACATGGATCGCTGGAAAGGCAGGGTTGCTCTTGTCACTGGGGCTTCAGTGGGAATCGGAGCTGCAGTCGCGAAGTCTCTTGTACAGCAGGGCATGAAGGTGGTCGGATGTGCCAGAAATGTGAAGCAAATTGAGGTAATTATACAGCTATCTGCAGAATAAAAGTTTGCCTTTAATACTGATTGATGACGAAAAACGGCATCGTGTGGAAATTGAATGTAGTGAAGATGAAGTTAAAGAAGTTAAAGACGCCTCGCACGAAATGAGCAGCAAAGAAAGTTACCGAATGTAGTGTTGTTCACTATTTATTAAATACCTGAATTTAATTTATGTAATTTAAAATATGTTAAAATGGTGTCTATTCTTAGCAAAAATGTCCAAGATTATTCGATAAAAACAATGCTGTGTAGCCTACAGTATATTGATCCTGCAACAGCAGTAATGATGGTTCTTAAAGCCTTCATGAAATATCAATCTCTAACTTTTTCTTTTGCAGAATTTGGCAGCAGAGTGTGTCAGTAGTGAATTCAGCGGGACTCTTTTCCCGTATAAATGTGATCTGTCTGTAGAGGAAGAAGTGTTATCCATGTTCTCCTGGATCAAAGTTCAACATCAGGGCATTGACGTGTGCATTAATAATGCTGGTTTGGCTCTCCCAGAGTCTCTATTGAGTGGCAAAACCAGTGCCTGGAGGTCTATAATGGATGTAAGTAACTCGGCAGGAACACAAGCAGGTATTATCTGCCAATATAAAGAAAGGGTGATGTTAGTCATCTCATCTCAAAATGTTAAAATCTTTCAGGTGAATGTCATCGCCCTGTCAGTGTGCACCCGTGAGGCTTACCAGTCTATGAAAGAAAGAAAAGTTGATGATGGCCATATCATCAACATTAACAGGTACATTAGCACCTTCATTGCACATTTCACTGCACCTTTTATGCATACTCGTGTTTATGTACCGGTACCAAGCATTCAGTACCTTAAAATGTGTTTTAGTATTTGTGGACACCTGGTTATCAACAATGCTGAAGCACACTTCTACACTGCCAGCAAATATGCTGTGACTGCTCTCACTGAAGGTCTCCGGCAAGAGTTACGCGAGGCTAAAACACACATACGTGCTACAGTAAGAACAGGATAAACACTTTTCTAACTTTAAAACTGAAATTCTCAGACTTGTTGGCACTAAGATTGCTCTTTCTTTAACAGTGTATATCTCCTGGTTTAGTGGAGACAGAATTTGCCTACCGGCTCTTTAGTGAAACCCCAGAAAAAGCTGTTGCTATGTACACAAATATAAAGGTATAGACAAATTCTCCTTCCTTTCTACACGTTTTAGGTCATCATTTATTTAAATATTTAAATACCATATTCACAGTGCCTGGAAGCAGCTGACATAACCAATGCAGTTTTGTATGTCCTAAGTGCTCCTCCTCATGTTCAAGTAAGAATCTTTTATCACTATTTTGCTATTAATGTTTGCAGTCACAATTTTCTGATTATGAGATTTTTTTTTTCTTTCTCTTTTTGTGTAGATTGGTGACATTGATATAAGGCCCGTTGAGCAGACGATGTAACATGAACAGATTAACTTGATCAAGAATTTCTGACACCTTGTGGAAATTATCAAGTAGTTTTGATCATGCTTCTTCACTAACTTTACTTTAGCTGAGCATTGCAGGGTCACATTGCATTATTGGCTTGAAACCCAATGCTTTACCTAACTCAACATCTTAATGCACTTTTGAATCAGTAAGATTGGTTTCATTTTACATCGTAAGAAACACAACTGAACAAATTATGCAAGAATTAATGATGATTAAAAACAAAGACATTTGCATTCGCTTGTGAAGATTTGTGCAGTCTTTTATTATACATTATATTCACTTTCATTATGGAAACAGCAAAGCTTTTTCAAACATTTACCTCTTTTTTATGGGTAAAGAAAATCATATGAGTTGGACCAACTCGTAAATGACAGATCAGCATTTTTGAATTGACAGCACTATTATATCCGTGACTAGACCTTATTTTCACTTTAAAATGAATTGTGAAAAAATGAAAATAAAACGAAAGTGTGTGTGAAGAAACTTCCAAACTTCCTTTTCTCTGAAATCAAGCGTGACAGCTGTTGTATATTAAAAAGTACTGGAAGTACTGCCTACATTTATTGCACCAAGAGCTGAAAACAACACTTTAATAAATTATTAAACTTGTCGAATATGGCTGAGGTTAGTGTAACAGTCTGACACCTTGCTTCCTCCACTAACAGTAGTGTGGTATAATATAGTAGCCTAATGAAAGGTATTAAAAAGTAAATGTTGCTTTCCAATGCCTTTCTAATGATTTATGTTGCTCTTGCATCAGTTTTAAGACTCTTTTGCAGCTCTTGGTCTAATGTTTCCTCATGCATGATTGGCATCTCATTAGGAAATTACCTAGCAACCAGAAATGTTAAGTCCAAAGTAAATAAGGGAAGCATGAAGTGCTCATTGTTTTTCCATTAACATAAGTTGTACAGCAGATTACAATGCTTTTATTTAGTCACTTTTCATACTTTATATACCCCGTCACATTCATTCTAGTTCCTCTGCTGCCTTTCGATGACTCGTCTCAGCATGTGGACATAACATGCAGTTACTCAGCAAAAGCCTCGTGTTCTCATGGGAACACGTTCCCGCCCTCTTAACCCCATTTCTATGACCGTAACAGCAGGAAACGCTGTGGAATCAGTCATGAATTGTCTTTTATGCTTTGTAAGTGATACTATTGTAATGTATTTGGAATGTATATTATTTCATAATGCCTACACCCTCGCATAATGCTGGATTATTTTTCCATGTCTGGGAATCAGGGAGCTGGTATGAGACTCCACATTGTTTTCATGTGCTCGTTCTGAAACTGCTGAGTACAGCAGGGTCACGGAGGAGAAAGTTGGTGTGATGCAAAATGGTGTGATGTTCGGCTCAGGCCATAATATGAATAAATTTGGGTGGTCCCTCATTTGAATAATGGAAATCCCACATTTGGATCTCTTTAACCGTGCAATCGACACACACACGTGTATATATATATATGCCTATATGTATATTTGCACCTTGACCAATTTTTGTGGTTACTTAGACATTAAAAACCAACCTTAGTTCAAGTCTTAATTAGGAGGTCAGGTCCCCCAAACCCCACATTTCACACCATGAGATGGCATATTTCAGACAGCGATTCTGCAAAGGCCACGCTTTTTAACAAGAGCATGTGAGGGTCAGCTGATGGGAGATTTGAGTCCAGTGTTACAATACTCATTTCAAGTCGGAGGGTGGGTGAGGCACCTAAACCAGATTATCCTTTGAGAAGAATGTGACCCTTTTTGCTTAAATCCACTGGCAAAGGCCTAGGAAGGCCAAAGTATGTGCTAGAATAAAAAAACTATTGTTTTTGGCACTGTAAATAATTAGGTTATACCTGGAAGTACACTAAACACTTATTAAAAACAAAAGCCATATGTTTTCTTAAACAACGATATATGAGAACCACCAGTGCTCTTATTTACTTTATTCAGAAATCATGTCGAGAAACACATGCTTTATAAAACTGATCCGATCTGTCAGACTACCATCAATGGAGCTATAAAAACAGAGTAGGTAAAAACATGCTGCTTATTAAAACAAAATTGCTGCATATCATAAGGCAGCCTAGAAGATAAGGTCACACCATGTGGAGCTTATTGAATTTCACTCTCGCTTCAATTTTCCACGCTTTTCTCGGTTTCCTCGCTCTCTGATTCTCTTCACTTTCGTGTTCTTAGGTCTGCGGGTAGCCATGGGCGGAGTGTTAGTCTGTAAAAGGGGATTCATTGATGCCGTATTTATCTCAGGATCCTTCAACTGAAACGCAGTGTCCTTTTCCATCAGATTGGGGAGGGGTGTTGTGTCTTCAACGTCAGGCAAAACCGCTTCATAGCAGATTCTGATCACACGCCTTCCACTTCTTCCCTTGGTGTCCTTCAAACTTTGTTGTCTGTTTTTTGTTGAGGATGATGTGAAGCTTTCCATTGTGTTTTCAAGCCGGTCTAGCCCCAGTCTCTCTGGCATGTCAGTTGGCCCGAGAGTCGCAGAACTTGTGAACAATAGAAGATCCTGAGAGCTAATAACACGAGGGGGCTCTTCTGTAGAGGAAGCAATGACTTTCCTCATTCTTTTTCTTCCCTCTCTCTGCCTTGAACTTGGCCTTCTGGGTCTGACAATGGGTGTATTTTGTGTAGCGACTACTTGTCCCTTTTCTTCTGTGTACTGTGTACTTTGCATCACCGTATCACCGGGCGTTGCGAGGGGTGAGGGACTTGTTGAGAGCGTTTCTTTCTCAAAAGGTCGGGTGACTTCTGTGGACGGACCGTTTTTTCTTTGCTTTTTCTTCCCGCCTCTTTGTCTGAGCTTAGCTCTGATCTTATCGCGGACAGCTAAGTCTGCTGCAGGAGAGGACGAGGCTAACTCTGTGTCATTTACTTGTCTGTACTCTAGAATCTCTGGTTCTTTATCTGGCTTTATTGAAACATCCTGATTATCATTCATTGTCCTCTGAGGATCATCTCTCATCATCTTATTAGAAAGCGGCCCGTTTACAGAGTCTAGCTCAGTGTTCATGAAATTGTTTTCTTTAATGCTAAACCGATTCATTTTCGCTGATTCCTCCTCCATGAAGTTGTTCTTACCCATGACCTCTTCTGTTTGACCGGTCGGCGGCGGCGCTCCGGCCGTTCCTTCATCGACCTTTAACACGCCGTCAAGTTTTGTATTCTTATTCCTGCCTTTACCCTTCCCTCTTTTCTTCTTGTTCTCTTTTTTCTTTTTCCCGGAATTTTTCTTCCTCTTCTTCTCTGACGCCTGAGTTTCTCCTTTAGCTGCGTCCGTGGATGAGCTTTGCGAGGTGGAGACTGTTGCGAGGACTTTAATGAAATCCTCTGCAGCTGTCACCACATTTGTAAGCGAGGGCTCTTCAGGGGCGGCGGTCTTTGATTCAGAGAACGTCGACCGTGTTGCACTTTCAGTCTTGTTCTGCTTTTCTTCGTCTGACTGTTTCTCCTTAGGAGGAGCGATAGACAATACATCAATGACATCAATCCCCCCGAAATCGTACGGGATCGATTCTTTAATCACTGCAATGGGAACTCTGTCATACTTTTTACACCTTTATGATGGAGAAAAGAGTAAAACTTGCATTAATTTGGCTGCTGGAGAGTATACCGGAGCATAAAGAATTTATAATTCCTGGAATTTGATACTTACACCCCATACCAATGGCGCTCAACACACTGCTCTTCAAATGAGAATTCAAAGCAAGGCGCTTCGATCACATTAAAGAAGGCCTGTCCGACCACTCGGGATGAAGTGTCATTTACAAGTCTTAGGCATTCCTTTAAGCTGTAAGAAGCAAATATGGAGATGATTTCAAAACGTTTCACATTAAGATAATGCAAATCTCACGTTTAAACAAAGGTTTCATTTGAAAACATACAAAAAAAGTGGTAATCTGCTGCAATCATTCATTTGATTTTATTTCTAAATTTAGTTTTGCTGGTGTAACCAGCAAGTCATTTAATTAACCCTTGATTGTAATATATAAATTGGTGTAAGTTATCTGGACATTATATTTTACTGTAGGTAATAACATCATCACGATTTTAGGTTACAATGTATAATTTTGCATAAGTGTCAGTTTTTTTAAATCATTTTAATCACCTTTTATTCCTACCATTAAATAGATTAAAAACACACTAATATTTCCATGTATCTCAATTAAAATGACGTCATAAAAACGACAAGTAAGCAATAGTAAGTTTAAAAAAAAATGTTTAAAGTAATTTAAAAGAAGTAGGCCAAGCATGCATGCTGCAGGACAGTGCTGTCAGCTATCAAACTTGCATATCTGGACCACTTACGCATTGTCGCAGTCGCAGTGGCTCAGGGAATGCCATTTAAAGTTGGTGTATCCATAGTTGGAGGAGAATGCATGGATGATGTATGGGCAGTGATCATGGACGCGGCAACATTTGTCGGTCTCTTCGAATTCGCCTGGAGGTAAAAAAAAAATCCCTTGCAATATTACAAAATGGCTAAAAATTAAAATCTCTACGCATTACACAAGTAAGTGAATTAAAATCAACTCACCTAACTGTTCATAATGATCCGCGATGTTTCCTGCACCACACCAAAGTGTCCCGGGATAAGTGAAGCCTCGCTTGGTTCTCGTCTTTTTATTGTTCGCTCCATCAGAGTTCGGCTCTTTTGCATGTTTTGTTTTCGCGATCACGTTTCTGTCGCCTTTTGATTTCAACTTGTTACAGTTCGCCTTCGCTTCGGACACCCCAGTTAAACTCATCTTTAAATCGGAGCTCATTTGGTTTCGTAGACCAAGTCTGCAAACATGCATGAAGGATTTAACTTGCATTTCGTTTTGGATCACTGAGCAGTCGACCAGGCTGCCCTCGGAGTCATGCACAGAGCGAACCTCTTCAGCTCCATCCGTGACCTGGTGAAGGTGATACTCTCCGACAACTGAACTTTTGGCGCAAAGAGTGTTGTTGAGCATGTAAAAGAGCTCTTTGCTCTCTTTTTCGGAATCTAAAGATTGGCTTAAGAATTCGCCTTTCACAAAGTTCCTGTCTAGATAAGACAGGAACACGAAAAACACGGACCACATCGCGGCGGGCGGCACTTCAGCACCACGGAGAGTCAGACAGCACCTTGTCCTCTTCTGTTCGTCGAGGACCGGCTTCTTGTCTGCCGCCCGCGGCCGGGGATTCATATATTACCGGTCAATAATGGGAGGGGTCTGACATTTGATTAACCCTTTCGTCCTCCAATGAACTTGAAAAGCCTACCACATGTGCGTCTGTTTCCTCCTCCTTTCGTCTCGTGAACAATGATTGCCCATTTTTTCATGCAAAAACCTTGTATATTTGCAAAAGGCAAATTAGTTTTTTTATCGTATTTGCGAGAGCAGGCAAAAAATGAACAAACAAAGGGGTGTTTGTTTTGTTTATTTTTTAAAGTAAATCGATGCTTTGTTGAAACCACATTTTGTGTTATAGGCTATTTTCTATTTATTCATTCAAATAAAGGACAATAGAAAGCTAACATATCAATTGGAAGCATAAAACAATGCACAAGGGATGAGAATTACAAGTAGCCGCATGAACATTTGTTGCGTTTCATTAACCACAAAAGTTAGATTACAACATCGCATTTGTCTAGACTGATCAGTACTATTATAGTCATTATTTATCACGTTTAAAACGTTTTTAACACTGTGCTTTGGAAAAAATAAATTGGAACCTATTGATAGAATGATTGATTTTTGACCTCCTGAAAATCATTGCACAGAGGTACAAACAATCAAATCACATCATAGTCCTATAGCATATTTTCAAATGAAATGCAAAATTACTTTGCATGCAATGTTCTTTTTTCATTAACCTGTTTGTTGTGTGCACTATCATCAGTATAATGTAATCCTATAATGAATGAAGGGTGTAATGGATATCTGTGTTTTGACCGCAAGTAACCCCATCGCTCCCCACACCTCGAGATTTACTTTGGTGACGCAGCGAGGAGGAGGTTCCTTTTGGCGCTTTCCATAGTAACAAGAGATGGGGTGATTCTTCCGACCCAACGAGATTGGGCATTCTAGTTTCACAAAAGGAATGGGTAGTGACCTAATTTGGAACAGTAGGCTTTTTCAATGCAGACCAATGAAGATCTCCACGTAGTTATTGAACATCATTCAGTCAGTCTTTTCTTATGGTTACATGGATCTTAACTTTAGGACTTTAATGGTCGCAGGCGCCAGCAAAATGGGGGGAAATAGTCTATAGAGGAGAATGCACGTTTAAGCAGACTCAATAGATTTGCAATTACATGTCTGCTGCGATCAAGTAATTAAATATTTAGTTTTCCAGTTCTGTTTTTATTGTTTAGCCTATTAAAGAAAAGAACAAATAAGAACATATGATCAAATTCTCTTTTGCAGAATTTATATTAGTTAGTCTATACTTGGTGTAACATTGTTGAAAGAGGTTCAAACAACGAACCAAGAAAATAATAATAATAATAAAATAAGGAATTTGGTGCAAGCCCAATATGTTTGCAATATGTGTAAGTCTTTCAAATAGCTCCCTGATTCCAACTGTGGGCTTTGCAAGGAAATCGGATTGGTGGGGGTGGAAACAAATGATGTAAAATCAGCAGAGGCAACATGCGACATTGTTGGAAAAACCGCACGATGTATTATTCATTTAATTCTCATTAAAGACCTTTGCCAGGATTTTAATCACTGGGTCTTTCACACAGCCTACCTGACGAATTGCTATTTCATCAAAACTCACTTGTGCAATTTAGTAACACCACACATTTTCTTTCATGTTTATGATAGCACATTTCTCTTGCAGCATAAATCTAAAAAAGTTGCAAGTTAAAGTGAAAATACCATACGAGACCAATTCGAATATATGAGGGCACTAAAATAAATATCTGCAGAATATATTAAAGACCGTAGCCTAATTGAATACAATTGTCCGAATAGCATCATCATTTTGTGGATTGTGTGGATATTGTAAGGTATATCTGCTAAATGCAACGCAATGAGTCCAATTCATTGGAATAAGGCGCCTCCTGGCACTTTCACAATAAGATGCTTAGCCGTCATATTATAGGATGGATTTCACGGTTTTTTAACAACCCACCAAAACCGTTAAATCTTGTAATAAGTTCAATGCACTTTTTGAATTTACAACATAGCGTAGACAAGCTACATTCTTACTAGAAATCTCGTATGTTGGAAATTATATAATATAAAAATAGTAGGCTATTGATTGAAATTAATCTGGAAAAGAAATATCATGATGTTTTAGCTTTCCTAAAACCCCGTACAAAAATGTGCATGGCTACTACTATTTCTCCATAGCTCTCTATGCTTCCTCTGTACGGTCAGACATCATTAGGAGTCGTCAATAAAATAAGGGAAAAACAGATAGGAAAAAAATAAAAATAATAGGGAAACCTCCATCAAATTTCACTGCTGAAGAACCAGCCTACTGTCTTTTTTTCTGCAACAAGAACTATTGTTTGAAGTGTCTTAATTTGTTAAGAGGGTATTGTGGGCGACCCTATAGCCTACTCTTTCTGAAACTGTATAGCAGCCTATATGCTTGACTGACTCATGTGCTTGATCACCACAGTGACAGGTGTCGGCGTCATAGTACCTCGGCTGAAATCGCGGAGGGATATAATTTCTTCTTCATGTAGCACTCCGGTGCAGGGCTCGCAACACAAGTGAGAATGCGGATTTATATTTTGATGATACGAAAGGGAGCGTTCAGTCCGATTGGTCATTGCCAGTAGCGCAACTATAAGAAATGTAGGCTATTGGGCATTTCCTATTAAAGCACATCTTAAAAGTATGGGTCCATATTTTTATTTACTTATTTAGGCCAATATAAGGAACATTGCGCAGGAACAATCCACTTGTTTGCCGCAAGACAGTTTAAGCCCGTCAGACCCTGCGGTGACATCAAGGTTTTTGGTTTAAGCCAATAAAAGGTTATGTTTTTATTATATGAGTAATGCCTGGTCACTGAATGGTCTCTGAGTCTTTATTTATGTTTCTTCAGAAAAAATATTAACAAATTCCAAAACTTTGAGCCGAAATTAGGTTAATTTGACATTTTGAGCCGTTGTAGGCCTAAGTTATAAACCATTTACAGTTTGGCTTAAGTTTGCTATCATTAGAGTTTTCATTGGATAATTTAAGGATATCCCATTAGAAAGAGGACAATACAATAAAAAATGCTGTGTTATAAAAACAGCAACATTGTTTAAACAGTAATCGTCATTGGGGGAAAAACAGACATTGAAGATTTCTCATTCTCATTACCTCATTATTTACTAAAATGGTAAACTTCTTAAGTAATCTTTTACACTGAGTAAATACAAACACTGCCAAGTGCCTAGTCTGGTTTGGAGCTAATGGGAAGAAACATACAAACGCCCCCTTTAGAGTAGTTCAACTTGACACCAAATTGGCTAAATGCCGTTGCCAGGGTAAGTCTAGTGGTCTTTCCAGAATGGATGATTTAGCAAGTGCCCAAAAAAGAGAATATCTCTGGTACTTGTCTCTTTAAGGCACCAAACACAAAGGGAGGGACCACAGTTTGCATGGCTTGATCCGATTGACAGGTAAACAGTCATTCCTGTTGCAAGCAAAACTTATAGTGTAGAATTGTACTTTATTGAATAACCCAGCTTTGAAAATTTGTATCTTGAAGTTTGGAAGGTAAAGTACTCATTGCTAGAATGTGATTGACAACCATGGGCTTTATTGTTTTCTGTTACTCCTGGCTGATCCAGGCACTGTAAGATTGTGCAAAAGATCTAAAGCCATTCAAGAATGAGACCATTGACCTGGTGTCTGGAATAGATGCCATGGTATAAAAAAGATCCTCGGTATAAAACTTTCTCTTTTGTAGAGGGTGTGGGGTAAGACAGTCTGAACTCGAGAGATGATATCTTTAGCTCAGTTCACATGTTGCAGGAAAAGTAAATATAACTCCTGGGATACACTCACAGCCTGACTTAATGAAATGTATATTAGCATATCTAATCACTAGTTCGAGATGAATGAATAACTGAAACAAGACAGTGTACTTTTATTTTTTACTTTCTCCTCCAATTTCAGGGTAAGCTGTGGCCTTGACTTAAGGAAAATGATTTTTGGCCATTCGAAAAGCAGGAGTGTGTGTTGAAATGTGCTCTCAGGACTACAGCGACGAGAGAAACGCATGGAAGTGTGTATTAAAGCCAGGTACTAACGTACGTATATGTCGCTATAATTCCACTCTTAAAAATAATGATTCCAAAAGAGGTTTTTCGCAGCAATGCCAAGGAAGAAGCATTTTTAGTTCCTCAAAGAACCTTTCGGTGAACATTTTTCTTAGTTTGAAGAACATTTTAATAATCTAAATAACCTTTTTCCACGATAAAGGTTATTCATGGAACTATCAATGCCAATAAATAACTTTACTTTTAAAGCTGGATGATAATGGAAACAGAAAAATCTAATTAGATATATTTTTAATGTTTGAGTGTTTTATAAATGATCGATTAGCTCTGCTGTTCTATTTTACTAATCCTATTGTACTACATAATGACTACAGAACTGTGTATTCAACCATTTCTGTAATTTTTCCAGTAAAATGGGAAATTCTGAGATGTTTAAAGATGTAACTTTTAATTTGTAAATGAAACATTAATTAAGCAGAATACAGGGATATTTTGTACAATTACATTGTAAAAATGTAAAGAATAAACTGAAGGGAAAACAATACGTCAATATGTTCTCTAAATGTAAGTGTCAAAGGAGAAACACAAAGAGTAAAAAGCATACACTTTTTTTTAAAAAAAACTGTTGTTCAATTTTTCCAGACTTAATTTTGCATTTGTATCTCAAGTAAATGGATCTTGATTTAAAGATGTTTAGATATTTGTATCGGAAACAGGGCAGAAATACTGAGAAAGATATTCATTTTTTTCCATGCTTGCAACATTTAATTGCATGGCATTATAAACTCTTTTAAATGCTTTCATTTTTTGTAAGGGTGAATTAAGACCTTTTTAAGACCCACAGAAACCCTGTAACATGACAATACAGTTAATATTAGGACTTTCGGAAAAAAAAACAACCTCTTTAATTTATTGTGAGAGCTAGGTTTTTAAATAAAGAAACGGCTCATTTAAGAAAAAGGAAAAGCATTTTATTTAGAATAAAAATGTCAATCAAAGAAAGCTATGTATACATGTCCTAATACTTATAAAGTCTTTATACAGCAAAATTCATTTTGAAGCTATATGAATGAATTCCTATATAACTTCAAGATAAATGACCCTTTAAATAAACAGGATTCTTTATATAGAAAAATACATTTATCACTGTTTATTGCTTTTTGTGCAACTCATGCATTATCCTCTTGTGTACCTTTTAAAATCACTGCTGACAGTAAACTAAGCAAAAATGTAATTAACAGAATATAATAATTAATCACTGATAACTATTATACATAAATTGTGCATAGAAGTCTTGGGAAAACAGAATACCGCCTTTGCCACAAAAAATGCAAACCTCAGGTTGTCCAACAAAGGAATGTTTTCTTTTATCCAGCAGATATTCAGTTACACCCTATGAATAATAAACCACACTGTTGTGATTGTCCATCCCACTTCTTATATTCTCCCTTTGTACGTACATGTAAGTTTGCGTGCATGTTTTGCGTTGGTACCCTATTTTTTGGTGCAAATGTTTGCATTTTCACAATGCCAGTCTTTACTGACAACAGTTAGGCTGTTTCTTCTTGGAAGTTGCATACAGGTTATTTGAGTTGCTGTTGATTTCTGTGTGGATAAAAAAAAAAGTTTACATGTTTTATTTAAATGCAAATGCAATATTGATTATATGCACACTATCCATCAGTCCACGTTGTTCTACAGAAAACCATTGTTTCATAACCTTTTACAAAAATGTAATAACTTTTTTCATCCTTTGAAATGACTTTCTTTAATGAATTCAGGCAACCCAGGAACCAATAATGTCACTGCCAACTTTGCATGATGCAATCCAATCCCATGGAAATAATAATGTCCTTATTGTACTTACGAACAACTTCCCCAATCCGTCTGGATCCACTTTTCTCCAGTTCTGCCAGTACATTGGCCTCAAATGTTAAAGATGCCACTCTGAAGAAAAACTCTCTCACATTCTCCCCTACAGTCACAAAAACAAAGGGCATTCTGAAACGCTTAACGTGGCTTACTCAGATGGCGATATTAAAAGACCAAACTCAGTACACATCATATTAATAAACCATAATATGTATACATTTTTTTTTGTAATTTTAAACATGTTTAATTACACATTAAGCATATGTTATAAGAAAACGCTTAATCACTGTCGCTTAATCATTGTGTTTTCTTATAATGGTTTTCTATGGGAAGAAAATGCTTAATGTGTAATTAAACGCATTGCATTAATATTCTGATTTTTTTATACACAGTATGGTTTATTAATATGATGTGTACTGAGTTTGGTCATTTAATATCACTGTCTTAGTGCAGTAAGCCACATTCTAAGGTTTCCCAAATACTTAATATGACTGCAAAATTGAAACTGCAAATCTCATTAAAATATACTACTCTATAGTATCTAGTTAAGATTTTACCAGACAAAGCGGACACAGCCCAGTACTCTGCTTTCATCTGATCTGCAAGTTTAATGGCATCTTGCTCAATTAGTGTATACTGTGCAGGAGACTGCTGAAAAGAAATAAATATACACATATATTGAATAGTGCATGGCCTTGAACTTTTAATATAAAACATAATTACAGAGTTATACATGTAACGTATTTACAAATAAGAATTATAAAATAATATACAGTAATGTTGATATAAAATAAAAATGGTCACTCACACTCAGATCTTTCTTTGTGCCAACCAAGAAAAGCAAAACACTTGTAGGATCATTCTCTTTCATTGCATCCTCTAGCCATTGCCTTTAGAAGAGGATTATATATTTCAATATGTGAAGCAAAAATGGAAAAAATATGTCTTTTCTTCTCTATTCTGATGTATATCCAAGTGATACAGCATCGTAAAATAGACAAAATGAAGGGCGGGACTTGATTTTGTCCTTTGGGCATTGCATTGATTGGTGGTCGTTTACTAATTGCTGTGATGTCATGTGAGTGACAGATTGCTGGAGGTGAGCGATTATTGCTCAACCCTCACACTGGTGCAAACATCATCAGAAAAGAAATATTGTTGCAAGGGGGAGGAGACATTAATGAAGGCATATAAATACAAAAAAAAAACTGATGCACGTGGATCAATAATTTGTAGTGATGCACCGATGTGAAAATTTGTGGCCGATACCGATAACCGATATTAACATTGCTGTTATGGCCGATACCGATATTTACCGATGTCGATATCCCTGTATAGAAAACACATAGCGAGGATTAGGGCTGCACGATATTGGTAAAAAATGACATTGTGATATTTTATTTTTCTGCGATATATATTGTGATATAAAAACAATTTCACCAGATTACTTAAATTGCTCTATTTGGAAAGAATGAATCATTCTAGAATGACTGGGGTAGTTTTGTCATGGAGTATATCCACAGAAACTAATATTAATAGAATGTTAACAAAATTTGTTAACATTCTATTAATCTATTAACCTTACACTTTACAAGAAGGTTCCATTTATTAAAGTGTTCATTTAATGTACACTTTAATAAATGGAACCTTATTGTAAAGTGTTTCCGATTTATGTATCTTGAGCTCAGTGTTGGACAGATCAGTTGTTTTAACCATTCATTAAAGTGAATCGGTTCAAAGGAGTCATTAGTTCGCGAATCGGACGTGTCATTAACGGAACCACGGCACACGTTGTGTGATTATCCAGGCAGTTTAGAACATCGCACGAGATTTGTCTCGACTTATTTTTACAGTCTATGGTCTCGACAGTCGACACAGAAAACATTTCATCAACACGATAGATTTTTTTTTTTTTTGGTTTATTGAAAGTGTGGTTTCACAATTCACAACCAGTAGTTCAGAAGAAAAAAACTTCGGTCTTCCGACCTTTTACCATCGTGTATTCTCAAAGATATTCAGTCAACTCAATTCATAAACATGCGTGAGGGGAGAGAGAGCAAGACATTTTGAAGACGGCGCGCGTGACCGGTGCTTTCACTCTTGTTCCCTCCGTTAAACAAGAAAGACATTTTGAAGACGGCGCGCGTGACCGGTGCTTTCACTCTCTCTTGTTCCCTCCGTTAAACAAGCGAAAGACATTTTGAAGACGGCGCGCGTGACCGGTGCTTTCACTCTCTCTTGTTCCCGGAGTTAAACAAGCGAAAGACATTTTGAAGGCGGCGCGCGTGACCGGTGCTTTAATTGACTCTCGTTCCCTCAGTTAAACAAGCGCACCAGTCACTCATCTACATCACTTACCGGTCAAATATGGCTTTGGCGGGACAAAAATACGCATTAGGAAGGCTGGCAGAAAACAGCTCACCAGTTCCAGTCTTCGTGCGCTTGATGTTTAAACGCACTTGCGCTTTTAATACGCGTGCAAAAACAAACATCCCCGCCCCCACGCAAGTCAAATACACAGGGAATGATCATCGGCCTGTTCATATCGGCCCTATTTTGACATCGGAACGATACCGATGTGTAAAAAATTGACCAAATCGGCCGATATTATATCGGCGGCCGATATATCGTGCATCACTAATAATTTGTAATAAAAACTGCAATATTTTGGGGGGAAAATTACCTTGTATGTTCCAGTGAAGCTACATCCGTCAAATCAAACACAATGATTACAGCTAGAAACAGGAAATTAAAAAGAATATTAATTGTTGTATCTCAAAATTTAGGGCTCAAAAATGTCAATGGGAAAAAAAAACATAATCATTATTATGACTAACCAGAGGCATCACTAGGCCCATTTTAGGAGGGTTTTAGCCCTCCTAAATTTCCACCCAGCCCCCATACAAATTTGCAGTTAAGTCCGTAATAATATTTTCACTAATTTGTGATTGGAAAATAAAAAAAAACTCATGTGAAACCAGCGGCAGGCTTTGGCTCAGTCTGTTTATTAATTTAGTCTGTTATTAAGCGTGTAAGAGTCAGAGGACAACGTGTGTGCAATTATTGATAGATTGTTATAATATCTGCATCTGTGTGGTTCTTTGTCATAAATGCAGTTTACTTACATAATATGATGCGGGAGCAAGATGGTTTCTCATCCACTGTAAAATCTAGGCTTATTTATTTATGGGCATAAGACTTTATGACTTTTCCTATTGTTGCTGAGTTCATACTTCAGGGCAATAAAATTGCTAACATTTTTTATTGTGCCCCCCTAATATTGAAATCCTAAAATTGCCTGTAATTAACATTTATATTATGTTACATTAAATAATGGAATACAAATAAAACCATTCCTTACCCTGAGCTCCTCTGTAGTATGTAGAGGCAATGCATTTAAATCTCTCCTGTCCGGCAGTGTCCCACCTCAAAAATGGAAACAAAAAATATAGCTGTATAAATAACTTCTTTATAATTAATTAGGCTGTGATACAATTTAGGTCAAACTTACAGTTGTAGACTGAAGGGGACTCCAAGAACTTCAAACCTCTCCATCTCAAAGTCCACACCAATGGTGGCCTTGTAATTCTTGTCAAAGACATTTTTGCAAAATCTAAAGAAAAAAAGTTTTAAAAAGATTAAATTACTAGGAAACACTTCACAATTAGGTTTCATTAGTCATCAACTTTAGTTAACAAACTAAGAATGAACAGCATTTATTAATACATTATTATAATACATTTTTATTTGTTCACATGAACAAACGATGAACGACTGCTTTTTTAATTCATTTAACATGGACAAACTTTAATAAATACTGTAATAAATGTATTACTCATGTTTAGTTCACGTGAGACCTTATTGTAAAGTGTTACCAATTACTATATTCAGCCCAACACTAACTAAAAGCAAGCTGACTGCATTGGCGTAATCAGTTAATTCTGCAACTTTGCTCACCTATTAATCAAACAGGTTTTCCCCACGGCCAGATCACCCACTACAATGACCTTGGAGATTTTAAACCTACTGGACAAAAAGCACAGGATAAAACAATGCTGCATAAACCACTTATTCAGCAAAACGAAAGATGACTTCTCACCCCACAGTTCCTGTCCTCTGCTGCTGACAGGCCGTCTTCACCTTGCTGTGAAATTCATTCTCAGTGTTCAAAGCAGCGCCTTTGTTGAAGCACTGCAACAGGAGTGAATATTAACACTCATTATTACTTCAGGAAGCACTTGAGAAAATGGGCCACTGGGGGGATTTCAGAACAAGCACTACCATCAGTGCATTGTGTGTCAAACATGTACCTTAGGAAACTGGTCGACTATGCGGTCTTTTCGTACAGGGGGCAGTACACTCATGTTGATGTTCCTGCAGGAGAACCACAAAGTTATGAATCACAGCTTGGCGTTTTATAACATGGCACACACACCATTCAAGAAGGAATGAGTAATGGCTGCTCGGAATGAGGCTCTAGAGAGGGAGACTTGCATGAATAAAATAAAGATATTTGTTTAGTTTACCTTATAAATTTGACAAAGAATGAAGGAACTAGTTCGTTTTAACTAAGTTAGTTGCCTAATTGGTATTTAAATAGCGGCATGGGTGATGATGACTCACTAATCTGTATTTCGTTAATCCCAAAGTCAATCTGAGAACAAAGAAAACACATCATTTGTGACAAAACGTGTTTGGCCTTGTTTGTGGTGCGTCTTTTTTTGTTTACCAGTGTAATATGTGGAGTTTATACACTAGGCTACATAGTCACATAAATAACATATTTATTAAAAATACTGTAGCTCCTAATGAGTTTTATGACTGTTGTAGGCTACATAAACATTCCAAACGTCACATAATACAAACGATAGGCCTACATTCTTTTATCCACCTTCATCTTCATTCCATCCTTCCAAAATCATACCCGTGCTCCGTAACACTGTTGCTACAAACAAACGTGTGCTTCTTACCTCAGGACGTTACTGAGAATGTAAAGCGCTCTCTTCCTGAGAGAAAGAAGTTTGATATGCTTTTATAAGTTAAATGCCAGAAAAAGATGAACGAAAAGAAACTGGAGGCAGAGAAACGTTCATCTATCGCGTACAGTTTCCAACTTTCTTGAAAGAAACGGAAGGATATTCCGTCTGCGACCGACGGAAGCGCTGGGAACTGCATACAGATGAACCGTCTTCTCCAATCTCTCCTCTCCTAAACCAGGAAAGAGGGATAGCAAACGCCCCCTACATACGGCACTATACAACGGTTGTTACCGTGCATCTCCTTTAATAATGTGGTTAACATGTTATTATACAGGTTATGACATGTTCGATCATCTGTTTTTAAAGGTAGGCCTACACGTAAACGTTGCAAAAAATGCCATATAGATTTTTATTCTTTAAAAAAAAAAAGTGTTTAGAAACGTTTTGGACTCAATTAACATGTCTGTTTTCATTATTTTTTGTCAACCCTTGCAAAAGTTCTGGGTTGTACCAATGGTTTTAGGCCTACAGCTTATGCAGCATTCAAAAGTTTGGGGTCACTAAGATATCTTAATTAAATTTGATTTAGCATGGATGCATTTGATTATTCAAACGTGACAGTAAATACATTTATGTTACAAAAGTATATCAATTGACATTAATATATGATATTATAATGAGCCTATAGCCTAATGTCGCAGTTCAGCTTTGCAAAGAAATTTTTTGTCCATGTGTGAATTTATTAAATTAATTTATAGAATAGAATTAGCATGTAGCCTAGCTAGCCTATGTGATGCTTATGTTGTTTTTGTTAAGAGAAATGTAACGTTATTTGTTTGCGAAATGGAGTAGTAGGCCTCGAGCGGCACCATAGGCTAATTTTTTTGTAGATTAGCCTACTTTCATCTCCTTAAAACTTTCTATTAAAAATAATTTTGCTTATAAATGTTTGTCTGTCCAAAGGTGCATTCCATTCGACTGTAAGTGGACTGCGAAGTGGACTTCACAGGGTATTTCGCCATCTTAAGTTAGATTCCAATTCGAAGGGAACGAACATGTTCAGTTCGAAGGGCACTGCAAACAGCATAGGGAATAAGGGAACATCGATACATCACTCCACAGGAAGTCAGTGAAGTCCACTTCAACTGATATACCGTGTTCAGGGAGTAGGGAGCAGTGAACACTGCGTAGGGACCCTGTCGAATGGAACGCACCAAGATATGGTCCAGCTAATGTGCACGTGTAGAGTAAACAAACAGTTGATGCAGCAATGACAAATGCAATTGGATCTTTTAATTTCCATATTGATGGTTGCGATTGGACCGTCATTCTCTTCTGTAATGTAGGCTACGTGTTCAAGTTATGGGCTGGTAGGCCTGCCTATTTTCAGTTCTCAAACACTTTCAAGCGCTCTAGTATGGCAAGCCGTTTTAGCTTTTATTCATCTCTAGGATATGAATTCTTGATATCAACAATTACATTCTTGATATCAACAATTACAAAACGGCTTGCCATACTCTAGTGCCTTTTCCACAAGTCACCTCGTATCGTCAGGTTTAATTTTGAGGTGCCCCCCTCCCCTTCTTTGACACCTGTTCGGCGCCGTGGCTTAGTTGGTTAAAGTGCCTGTCTAGTAAACAGGAGATCCTGGGTTCGAATCCCAGCGGTGCCTTTTGAAACATGGGCAATGAACAGCAATCGCGAAACGGCGTCCCTGTCCTGCAATCCAATGGGAAGTCGGTGGACTCAGTGAAATCTGTGGATTCCCCGCTTTTTTTAGATTTTCTTTGGCCTGGTTTTTGGAGACTGATAGTGTGTCTGCATTTTGAACCAGGCTTCATTGTGCAGAGACCCGATCCCGACCTTCCGTTCTTGCTCACAGACTCGAGCATACAAACTCAGTGCCGGACAGGCAAAAGCCCGGACTCCCCGAAGGAGAAGACACACGTGGCCCATCTGTGGGGCGGCCGGCTCTGTGGCGCAATGGATAGCGCATTGGACTTCTAGGTTGTTTGAGGTAATTCAAAGGTTGTGGGTTCGAGTCCCACCAGAGTCGCAGCTTTTGTTTTTAGTGTTGCCCTCAGTTAACAGAAACTTTATCTCCGTTGTGTTCTCAACATATTAATTTAAATAATTTCAAAATGCAATTGTCCGATAACGGTCCAATGAGTTGTTGGTTTAAGTGAAATGGAAAAATCAACACATTTTTTTCAAGCATTATAAAAATTTAGCTAAATGTAGACTACCAATCGATAGCCTATAATCATGTAATCTTGTGTAGAGTTAATGCGCTTTAAGATCTTTTTTTTGCCATCAGCCACAAGAGGGCAGCAGACAGCAACAAATGTCATGGTTGGTTCTTCGTTATCTAAAGTTAAACCGACTAAGTCGGTTACAATGTGGTGAAACATTACATTTTCTTTGTTGTACCGAGGTCTGAACAATGAAATTAACAGATTGGGAAGATTAGATCCTTTGTCGATGTCTGTATTTCTTTGTGCAGTCTGTATGCGTGGGTGTTCCAAACCCTATTTGTTAACTAAGTTTTGCTGAATAAATGCTACTGTTTTGTAATCATACTTCAGAACTTGCAATAGGCTGTTAATCATGACTCAGCAATAAATAGGACAATTCTGGATCTGGAAGAATTTCCTCTTTTTCATCTAATCATGGACTATTATTATGTCTTCAAAACATGTACTGTACATAACCATTTCATTATTCATTCACATTTGTAGCCTAGTTTCGAATAGCCTATTGTTCAGTTTCTAATGTCGTTATTCTGACTGTGGAGGACTGAAGCAGAGATTTTTAAATAGTAATTGAATATTTAAATGTCAAGACATACAGCATATAAAAATACATTTCCAAGAGTAAGGCTTCAGCACATTTGAAAAGGTCATTTTGTGAACTTTTCACCTTTCAAACCACTTCTATTTCTGTTAAACCACAGTCTCTTTGCTCTGTTTAGTTATTATTGCTATGTTTATGAATAAGTATGTTAGGTCCTTCAGGTCAGATTACTTATATATTTTTAGGAGATTTGAGTCATAAAATACAGCAAAATTATGATCTTTATAAACAAAAGAACCTTTGGCTGAAACATATTTTATTGCTGCCCTCACTGTTTTGAAACTATGCTTTTACTTTTCCAGAACCAGCTTGGTTACATGTTTGGTTCATCCCATAAAGCACACTGTAATTCAAGTTTGAAATGTTTCATGCCTCAGAATGTGACAGTCAGTGATCAGGAATGTTCAGTGTTTATATACTTACCGGAACTGCTTTGTAATTTAGGAGAACAATATGAGGCCAAAGGACACTGCCGAAACTCATTCTCACAGGCGTTACTCTTGAATAATTTAAAAATAGCCATTGAAATGAATGAAAGAGTTTCATCTTGGGTTAATGTGTTTTTTATATTAGAACTGTCAGCATGAACAGATGATGAAGATAATTTATCCTGTTTTGAAACTTGTGAAATGAATCAAACATAATTATTTTATTTATAGGAACTTAAAATGTTGCATGTGCTCCTGAGATTTAAACGCATCTGACTGAGGTCTAAATCACTTCATATGGCCAAAAAGATGGTTCAGAAGGTTACACAAAAAATATTTTGTGGACACTATCTCACCTGTAGGCCTTAAATCATCAGTGAACAATCTTATTGAGAATCAAGTGACACTATAATATTGTGTAAAGGCAGTCCACTGGTAATTTTGTGTTTTGTGGTGTTGAGAAGAATGTGTGACTCAACCCCCTTTAAAGGTCTTGATAGGCCAAAAACATGAAGCCAGTTAGATGTTGAGGGAAGAAGTTACAGAGAATTACAAATTCCCGACAGTAAACTGATGCTTCGTCCAATTTTGATGACTCCAAGTGCTTGTGCTACTTCAGGTACGAAGAACAAATGAATTTGCAACGGTCGCTTTGTCTTCTAACTGTTGTGGTGCGATGCAACAATGGTGGCATCTGATGTTGAAATGGTGTTAGCTTTTATGGACAGACATCAGTGTTTATCCAGCATCAAAGCCTGATTGCTACCCAACAGGGAACGTATACTCAGAACTTCCCGAACGTTCTGGCAAGGTTCTTAAACACTTGAACAACCGTTCTTCCTGTACTGCAAACATAACCCCAGCAAACACAGAACGTTCCCCTAATGTTCCCGAATGGTGCCATGAGGTTGTTTTTTTTTTTTTTTTTTTTTTTTTTGGGAACCAAACAAGAATGTTATATGAACGTTCCATGTAGGTTATTTTTAGGTTACATTTTTATATCGTAAGGAGAATGTTCCAGGAACATTCCCTTAACCTTAATTGGCTTGCTGGGATAGAACCTAAATTGGCTTGCTGGGACCTTTGTTAAATGTTATCTCTTTAATAGACCAGCGGCACCTCATGGAGAGGCACAAACGTTTTAGTTCAGTGTACTTTGCTGGAGGAATGATCTTCCCAAGGCTCCAAAAACTGAGCTGGACGATGACATCACTTTTTTTCTCCATAGAGGCTTTGTAAATTAAGTTAATAACTTTTTTTACAACAAAAATGAACCATCACAGAACTTACTATGGTGCTGGTGCTGGACTATGATGCTGTTTTCTTCTTTCTTCGTTATTTATTTATTATTTTCCTGTTATCACTGTGCGAACAATCTGTATTGTAAAGACCCCATACAAATAAAGGTGACTGACTCGACCATTGTCACCAATGATGTTCTCCACGATCAACTTATTTTACAATGCTTTTAAGAAACACAGCCCTGAGCGAGGACTGAAACTACAAGCAATTCTTGTGTTTATTGCCTCTTTAAGATGAATCGCTTGTTTCCTCTATTGTTAGCTGCTTTGGTCAAAAGCGTCTACTAAATGAATGCATGCAATAATCAAAACATTATAGGCTACAACAAAAATGTTATTTATATTTTTGAACGTTTTTCTGAAACATTTAAACTGGATGTTATATTTAAACGTAGCCTACAGCTATTATTTTTTTCAGATGGTTCTGAACTTCTGAGAACATTAAAAAGTAATGTTCCCACAATAATACACTAGCAAAACCTTAAGACTATTTTTAAGCTGGGTAATTAATGAACACAAACTTCACAAATAAGACATTTGAAGTAACATAGCTGGTGTCAGAGTCAGTTCCCCCTGCTCATGTGCTGTAGTTTGTCCCCTCTAGATCTCTGTAGGGGTACAGGAAGTGTTGCCTATAGTGACGGGGCGCGTTTAGAATCCCGAAAACATGGAGAAGTACGAGAAGATTAAAGTGGTCGGCAGAGGAGCATTCGGGTAAATAACACAACGAACGCGTTATTGGTTCGCGAAATGGTTTTAGTGACGTGCACTTGTCTGCTTGAACTAGTTGGTTTACAAAAATATTATTGTACGCTCTAAACTCGGTAGAAGTTTTACTTGAGAAACTCAGTTGAAGAGCTTTAAATCTGCAGCTCTCCTCTCAGTATCAGCGCGAACTGTAGCGGAAGATACACCGCATCACTGTCTCGCGTTTCCGCATTCCATCAGTAGGCTACAGTTAGAGCCATTATCACCCTATTCAACGAGTTACTGTGGCATTAAGAGTTTAAATAAGATTTCGACACTCTTGCTTTCAAATGAAAAAGAAAAAAGAACTGTTAGGCAATGAGTAGCTCGCCCTACTACTCGTTTTAAATTTCCCTGGAATGTTTACAGCTTTCCTAATGGAAATTGCTTTCGTAATTTAGGAATCTTAACGGTCCAGTTCCAAACATGATGTAAACAATTACTTAGAATTGACACTTTCTCACCTTTTAGGCTAAGTTCAAATGTGGGTAGCCTATTGTTTGTGTGAAAATTGTTGTCTACTCAAAATTCAAAGTTTATGGCATAAAATAAACGTATTGGAGAAGTAGCCTAAACATGTTTTAACATGTATTATTTAATTAAAGTGGTCAAAGTAAATTAAAAAGTTAAGGTTTTATTAGCTTTTGAAACCTTGTGGTAAAAGAAGTGCTTTGAATTGGATTGACTGGATACTTCAAATCTTAAAAGTAATGCATTTTTTTAAACTGTACTTGCAGGTAATAGGCCTATAATATAGAATGAAATAAAGGCATCTTAAGTGTACTAATAGAGCACTTTCATGAGAGTTTCTTAACACACTTCAATACACTTTAAAAAAGTGCACTTTGTAAAAAAGTCATATTAAAAGTTTTACTATAAAGTAGGCCTACATTTAAAATTAGGATTCAGTTCTTTGTCTTGTCTTAATGTTAGTGGTTTGTTTCTCCAATGATTCCCTGAGTTTTTCTGCCTGTACTGTTGAGTTTTTGTATTTTTCCAGAGACACGTACTTTATAGCAATTTGAACTAGTGTGTTAGAATTCGCAATTAATAGATAGACAGTACTAATCTAAAGTTAACTTTACTACATTCGGTTACAATTAATTTGGCTTAATTACTGAAGTTACATGCACTTACTATAGTAATAATAACAGCATTTAATATCACTTTAAAATAAAGTGTTAACTAAGTTCTAAATAGAGAATTACAAAAGTGTAATTACAATACACAAAATGCAAGTTTCTATTGAAATGACTTTAAAGTATGATGTGGTTTACCATAAATGCTTGTCAGTACATTCGTCAGTACACTTTAACCTGTTATTTCAACCTCTATCCTGAAAGCTAAAATTGTTAAACTTTTAAATTCAGCTGTTAAACTTGACATTATTACATTCTGTGAATGTAACATCCACACATTGACCTGCATCCTGACTTTTTATCTGATACAGGATAGTGCACCTTTGTCGCAGACGCACCGATGGCGCGCTGGTGATCTTGAAGGAAATCCCAGTTGAGCAGATGTCCCGAGATGAACGTCTCGCGGCCCAGAATGAATGCCAAGTCCTCAAGTTACTCAGTCACCCCAACATAATTGAGTATTATGAGAACTTCCTGGAGGACAAGGCGCTAATGATCGCTATGGAATATGCTCCAGGTATACACTTTTTGATGGTCACTTAACGTGTTCCTACAGTTCCTACAGTCCCACATAATATTTATTACTGTGATGCAAAAAAATAATGTAAAGTGTATGGTAGGAGTTATTTTAAAGCCTTTAATCTGGATTCCTTTTAATACAAAAAAAGTGTCATCACAGTAATGTCACGTTTTTAAAAAAAAATATGATGGACAATCATTTTCTTTATGCATAATATAATAAAATAGGTAATATAATAAGCATTTTGAATTATGGTTCAATAACCTTTTCTCTTTATGATTATCCTAGGTGGAACCCTGGCTGATTACATACAGAAACGCTGCAACTCCTTGTTAGATGAGGATATAATATTACATTTCTTTGTTCAGATCTTACTGGCCCTTTATCATGTGCACAATAAACTCATCCTACACCGGGACCTCAAAACCCAGAACATACTCCTAGACAAGCACCAGATGATAGTCAAAATAGGAGACTTTGGAATCTCAAAAATTCTTGTTAGCAAGAGCAAAGCTTATACTGTAAGTAAGAAAATTGTCTGTACTTCTGCAGTGATTTGAGTCTGACAGCATGCGATTTAATTACAGTCCAGATTCTCCCTCTCATGACAGGTTGTGGGGACACCGTGTTATATCTCTCCAGAACTTTGTGAAGGAAAGCCATACAACCAGAAGAGTGACATTTGGGCCCTAGGTTGTGTGCTTTATGAGCTCGCTAGTCTCAAGAGAGCTTTTGAGGCAGCAGTAAGACACATTTTCTTATTTTCTGCTTGTCTTGATTTTTAAGAATACCAACATGTTGAATGACAAGCTAAGCAACTTCTCTGTTTCCAGAACCTGCCAGCCTTGGTGCTGAAGATCATGAGTGGCACATTTGCCCCCATTTCGGATCGTTACAGCCCAGAGTTGAGACAACTCATTCTCAACATGCTGAATCTGGACCCATCCAAAAGACCCCAGCTCAATGAGATAATGGCTCATCCCATCTGCATTAGGCCATTGCTCAATCTTTACACTGACATAGGCAACGTCAAAATGCGCAGGTAGATTTATTTTATTTAATTTATCGCGTTTAATTGTACATGCTAAGTATTGTAAATGCACTTATACACTTTGTTTTGGCTACTCTCTTTTTAGAATAGAAAAACCACTTTCTGCTGCACAGACAGGCCATCATGGAAGACCTGGTGGACGCGTGACCAGTACCAGAACCAGAGGTGGGGTGTTATTTCCCTAAATATTGTCTTATTTACTAATGTTATGTTTTAAAGCGTCATCGAATATTTTATTAACCAAACCTGGGCCTTGTTGATTAAACATCAGGTTTGGAGTTCATAGTAAGCTCTGCTGGTTTGACTGTGCCATTTGTTCCATTTCATCTACTAGGAGGACTGTCCTGTCTAACTTCAACAAAGATGATGCACCCATTGCCTTTATCTTCAGTGTACACCTGGGGCAGCGGCATTTCCGTTCCTCTGCGTCTGCCCATGTTAAACACAGAGGTTATACAAGTGTCCCTGGGCCGCACGCAGAAGATGGGCATCACCAAATCTGGGAGGCTCATCACATGGGAGGTGAGATGAAAATGATTTTTATTGAGGATCAATCATATTTTTATTTACGTTTTCAATTTTTATTTCGGCTTGACTCTATGCCAGGCCCCCTCGGTTGGATCCACTGAGCCCACTCTACCTGGTGCTGTTGAGCAGATGCAGCCCCAGTTTATCTCCCGCTTCCTGGAGGGACAGTCTGGTGTCACGATCAAATCCGTCTCATGTGGTGATCTCTTCACCACCTGCCTAACAGGTATGCTTCTTACAATCCAGAATTTTCCGAGCAGGTTGTGGCATCATCGATTTCAGAATCAACCGGCCCTAATGACGCACTCTGTACAATCAAAACAAACAAGGTTTAGTCACTTTACATGTCCGAAGTGGGAAGTTCTTAGACTTAAGCTCCAAAGTGGACATGACTTTAAGTCTGTGTCTGAAAAATTAAGCACAAAGTGATTTTAAAGTTTACGATAAAATGAAAAAAGGATGAAAGGAGGATGTAATCGCCCCTTTTCACTGTCCATCCTACAGAGCTCATTAAGTAGCATTTGTTCACACTGCAAAAGTTAATCTCTTGTCCTCTGGCATTGTAGCACAGCGGTGTACATTTGTCTGCTCTAGAGTAAAGGATATGCTATAACTATTCGTCTCTGCAGGGGAATCATTAGTCCCCAGCTGATGTAGAGGATTAAAGGGCTTGACTTCCAGCTCAGTTGCTCTTCTTGTGCAGTGGTTTGCACTGACGGAGAAACAATTGTTGTTTAATTCTTTGTTTATATGCAAGAGCAACCACAATCTGCCTAATTTGCTTTCGGTTCTGCAGACAGAGGTATAATCATGACGTTTGGAAGTGGAAGCAATGGTTGTCTTGGACATGGGAACTCCAACGATGTGACACAGGTAGATTTAGATGATCTGTTTTTTTGTTTTTTGTTTTTTTGCAATGGTATATTTAGAGATTGCTCAGGGAAGATAAGGATTTAAGTAAAGTGACCCTATATTAACCTCAGGACTCAAAAATAAAGATGATTCGATGGCCTGGGATCAGTGTGAGAGAGTTCTCATTGTTTACTGAAACTAAAACGAAAAAAAAAAAAAGTTAATTGAAAATTAAATATGAATATTAGATGAAAAACGTAATAAGTTAACTTAAAATAAGTTCAAGTACTAAAATTAAGCTAATAGAAATATATAAAAACAACTAAAAGCACATAACAAAGTTAAATTAACCTATAGTTATATATAATAGCTATATAATGATAGCATATAATACTTAAAAAATGAATAGTTTCCTGTACGGTTATAATAACTGTATAAAAGCTATTATTGCAAATTAGATTTTTTTCTAAAGAAAGCTTGTCTTTATAGGTGTAAAAAATGTAAAAAAAAAAAAAATTTAACAAATGACATATTATTATTAAATCAAAAATATAATGAATGTTAAATCCTGCCCCGGCTTGTGATAGAGACTTGGGCCAGTAAGCAACAACCTAGCAAAACCCTAGCAACCAACCAGAAAACCCTAGCAACTGCATAGCAATGTGCTAAAAAAAATCTTAGCAACCGCATAGCAACACATTGGAAACCACCCACAATTCTCCTATAGCAACATGATGGTGTCCTGTCCGCAGATCCTGATTTCAACAAGTGCAACATGTTCCTGGATCAACAAATAACATTCCAATCAACCAATCAGATGTCAAGTTTAGGTTTACCCACCATTTCCTTCTGATTTTAGGGATAATTTGTGGGTAGGGTTCGGCTTAAGGATAGGGATATGGTTAGGATTGCATTTTCGGACAGGAATGTTGATCCAGGATCAACAAATTATGTTGACCCAGGAACGGAGCTGGACAAATCAGGACACCTCAAGTGTTTTCTTTCCAAAATTTCAAAATCTAGTGTTAATTATACGTATAGTTCTCCATGTTCCTGTCTTTGTATTCAGCCCAAGATAGTAGAGGCTCTTCTGGGTTATGAGTTGGTCCAAGTGTCCTGTGGAGCATCCCACGTTCTGGCAGTTACCAATGAGCGAGAGGTTTTCTCCTGGGGGCGAGGAGACAACGGTAAATGAGCAACATCACTTGTCACTTGAATACTGTGTTTCTTTGTGTTTCTCTTTGTACTCTTGCAGACAGCAGCAGCAGTGCCTCCAGGCAGACCTGGCATTTTGTGCCCCATCGTTCTCGTTCTCTCTCTCCGCCACACTCACTCTGTATGATGTCTCTGTTTGACAGGCCGGCTCGGTTTGGCCACTCTAGACTGCCACAACTCTCCGCAACAGGTGAGTTTGCCAGCTGATTTTGAAGCCCAGCGTGTGCTGTGTGGGGTGGACTGCTCCATGATCATGAGCACACAGCACCAGATCCTGGCCTCTGGGAACAACAGGTACTCCATATGTACAAAAACAGTATGAAAATATCATATTACTTTAATAAAACATTATATTACATTGGGAAAACTGGAGTAATCTGTCTGTTCAAATGATTTTGGCTGGATGCTTATATTTTATTTATATTTATATTTATGTAAAAAAAATGTTTTTGCAGGAAGCTCTTATTTTCACCAAAGCTGGATTTATTTATTCATAAATAGTGTAACACTTGAATATAAAAACGCATTAAATAAAATAATATTATTACAATGAGAAATAAATGTTTCCAATTTGAATATATTTTAAAATATACATTTATGAATTTTCAGCATCATTACTCCAGTCTTCGGTGTCACATGATCCTTCAGAAATCATTCTAATATGCCGATTTGCTGCTCAAGAAACATTTCTTATTATAATCAATGTTGAAAACAGTTGTGCTGCTAAATATGTTTTTGTGGAAACTGTGAAACATTTTTTTTAATCATTATTCTTCAAATGAACAGTGATTATTTGAAATAGAAATCTTTAAATCTTTTGTAGCATTATGTATGCCTTGCTGTCACTTTTGATCAATTCATGATCGATTCTTATTGCAACAAAATGCACAGTAAATCATTATTTATTTATTATTTACTTCCACATTGAATGATGGGTAATGTCGGTATTTAGCTCAAAGCATGTTCGTTAAATTATATAATCAGGAAAAAAATATATATTTTCCAGTTCAAATTTCACAGAAAACCCAGATTTCCCATTAGTAATGATGACATCATGTGCTCATGACTTTAAGGCTGCATAACTTCAGATGGTATGCGGTTGGTTGAGGTGTTGACTGTCACAGATACCCAGATGTGTCTATATTTTGACATGTTAATGGTTAATGAGCCTCAATGTGGATTTTGCAAAAGCCTGGTATGAGTCTAATTGCAATTATAAATAATAATGCATCTCAAAATGTAAAAAAAAATCTCTCCATGAATGAAGTCTTGCTTACGTTAGGCAGTTTTTCACAGATTGCCAAACCAGTTTAGGGAGTTAACACTCCTCATTCCTCTTTCAGCATTTAAAAAGACTGAATTATGAAGACATTTCATCACAGGAAATGACCAACACAATGACCATATTTTAAATAACAGTCACACCCTGTCAGCCGCACCATCTGACCCTAACCTAACCCAGATTTTCAGAATAAACCAGTTGCCCTTTTTGAAAAAGAAGTACACAGTAGCATACTTTAAAAAAGAACACTGATTGACACTTAATTGAATGTAGCTTAATGCAATGCGTATTGAATGCAATTAGCTGAACTTTAGAGTGCTTTTTTGACCCACTTTAGACTTAAGTACATCTTTATATGTCATTTCACAATTACTTCTATTGTCTTTAAAATAGAGTGCACTGCCAAATGTACTGACAATGGAAAACTAAAATATACTTTAATGTCATTTCTTTTGAAACTTGTACTGTAAGTAATGTATTTAAATATATTTGTATATTATACAAATATTTATAGTATAGTTGCCATTTACATTTGTAATGATGAAGTTGTAGTTTATTACGTAACAAACATTAACTTTAAATATAATATCAAATAACAATCTGCATTAAAATGATAATCAAGTGCTTAGTATGTTAGTTTGTACATCGTAATTAAGTGTACTTCTTTGTAAGCATGACAAACGATTATTCAAAATTAAAATCCACTCGACAGTAAAACTTTTAATTTGACATGATTACAAAGTGCACTTTTGAAAAGTGTTCTTCAGTCTGTTAGGAAACATTGACATTGAATGCCCGGTTTTAAAGGCTTTAAAGGAGTAGTTCACTTTTGAAAAAACTTTTGCTGATAATTTACTCATCCAAGATGTCCATATCATTCTTTCTTCAGTCGAAAAGAAGTTAAGATTTTTGATGAAAACAGCACTTTTCTCCATATACTGTAATGCACTTCACTGGGAACCAAACGGTTCAAGGTCCAAAAGACACTTTCAGTACAAACTGCAAACTGTTCAAAGGGCTTTAAACGATTCCAGACAATGAATAAGGGTCTTATCAAGCGAAACGATGGCTCATTTAAATAAAAAATAACAAAGTTTAAGTTTTATAAGCACAAATGCTGCCTTGCTCTGTTCTGTGACGCATGTTTGTGACTCTCCTGTTCGAACTCGTTCATCAAAATGAACGAATCTTTTTCCGAGTCATTTGGTTCATTCAACAAACGAAACGGACAAATTGACTCAGAAAAAGATTTGTTCATTTTGATGAACGAGTTCGAACAGGAGAGTCACGAACGTGCATCACAACAGAGCAAGGCGACCATTTGAGCTTATAAAACTTAAACTTTCTTGTTATTGTTTAAAAATGAGCGATCGTTTCGCTTGATAAGACCCTTATGCATCGTCTGGAATGGTTTAAAGCCCTTTGAACAGTTTGCAGTTTGCACTGAAACTGTCTTTTGGACCTTGAACCGTTTGGTTCCCACTGAAGTGCATTATATGGAGAAAAATCCTGGAAGGTTTTCATAAAAAACCTTAATTTCTTTTCGACTGAAGAAAGAAAGACATGGACATCTTGGATGACATGGGGGTGAGTAAATTATCAGCAAAGGTTTTTTGAAAAGTGAACTACTCCTTGTCTGTGAAACCAGGCCTTTAAATGGCTTTTTTGTTTGATAAATATTATAGTATCTGCAAGTAGATTTTTTTGATATACTGAAGTACACTACAAGTGCACGTTCAATGCTTTTCACAGCTAAAGTGATATTTGAATGAATAAATAACCATCTTCAATGCAGATTTAACAAGCTGGGTTTGGATAAGGTCTCAGGCACAGAGGAGCCCCCATCTCACTGTCAGGTGGAGGAGGTCCACACGTTCCGGCCGGTCCAGTCTGCTCCTCTAAATATTGAGAAGATTGTTTACGTAGACATCGGCACAGCACACTCTGTTGCAGTCACAGGTCAGAGCACTTCATTCACATTACAACTCAATGCGCTGTTTTGACTTAGACTGAGGACCGACTCACAACCTATGAGTGTGTGCCCTAAATTCAGAGAAAGGTCAGTGTTTCACCTTCGGCAGTAACCAGCATGGACAGCTTGGCTGCAGTTCCCGCAGAACCAGTCGAGTGCCCTATCAAGTTTCAGGACTGCAGGGAATCACCATGGCCGCGTGTGGCGATGCTTTCACTCTGGCTATTGGAGCAGGTAAACAAGACATTTACTACTGAATCTCACAAAACAGGTCACATTGAAGTCTGATGAAGCCTATTTCTATGAGAATTAAGATTTTTTAAATTGTATTGTCATGAATCTTTTATACTCCTGCCCCAATTATCATTACAATGCATTCAGACTTGATGATCCTGATTTTTGCACCCATGATTAATAAGTGTGTATGGTAATTATTGTAAAACAGTCATTTTTATAGTATTATAGTGTGAAGAAGTACTGTAATACAATGTATTTCAACCCTCTGATTTTTAAAAGCTATCTTAAACCATTCAGGTTTAATGTTTATTGGTAAATTGTTACATCCAATCCAGCATGGGTAAAAAAAAACCTCTTGAAGTATAAATTCAACTAAAGCTTAAAAAATGCTAATGCTAATAATTTATTCTGATGGTCCATTTTAGACATTCTACTAACTATAAGTAACTTTGCATCTACATGTCAAACTAACTCTCATCATTAGAGTATTAGTAGACTGTTAGGTTAGGGTTATAGGTGTTAGGGTTCGTATAAGTTGACACGTATAAGTCGAAAACTTACTTATAGTTAGAATGTCTAAAGTGGGTCATCAAAATAACGTGTTACCCATTTAGTTTTGCATTGTTCATGACAATTGGAGGGAATTTTTTTGTCGCAATACAAAGGAATGTAATGGTCCTATTACAGAGGAAAAAGCTATATATATATATATATATATATATATATATATATATATATGAAGAGTTCAGATGCAAAAGCCTCTAAGTGCCATTTGAAAATTTCTTCTAGAATGATCATTTTTATCAAGCTTGTATATTTAAGTTTAGTGATTTCACTTAAATGGCAATGATAATTACCTATTAATTGTTATTTAAGTGAAATTACTGAACTTAAATGTACAAGTTTGATAAAAATCATCATTAAAGATGAAAATTTAAAATGGCATTTAGAGGCTTTTGCATCTGAACTCTTCATATATATATATATATATATCCCATTGATAGTGGGATAAACATTGAACTGGACAACCAAACTACATGAACTACTCAAAATAAATGCAATGCATCCCAGACAAGGCTGCTATCAAACCATCATTTTCTTCCGTCCCAGAATGTGCTCTGGTGGGGGCAGGTAGGTTAATTAATGTGACATGTGGATAAAGGTCAGCATGTAACCCCGACTGTGTCCCAGAGGCTTAGAAGACTCTGAAGACCTTTATTGTTTTATGTTGTCTTTGTTCATTCATGATTCTCAGAGGATCTGACATGCAAAGAAATAGACTGACAAAGATGTTATTCAGCCAAATTGTGAGTAAACGTTCTGCTCCTTCATTCGGCAGAGGGGGATGTGTACACCTGGGGTAAAGGGGCACGTGGTCGACTTGGAAGGAAAGAAGAGGATTCTGGGATACCAAAGACAGTGCAGCTCGATGAGAGCCACCCTTTCACTGTCACGTCAGTGGCATGTTGCCATGGAAACACACTGTTGGCTGTGAAACGTAATGTGCAGCTATAATTACTTACACTAATGTTTACAGAATCTAGGCATTTGTTGTAATGTATTTGTTGCAATTATCTATTGTTGATTTGGCATTACAAATGTTGTCATTGTTCTCTCATCAGTCCTTACAACACGGTGACTATATTCTTACTCATCATTTCTCTCCTTTCCTCAGCATTTTTTGAAGAGCCTGTTTTAAAGTGACAGTGCTGCCTCTGCCGAATTCCTCCACACACTCTGCAGAAGAGGCATAAGGATTGGACGCGATACTGTTGCCTCATTGAGAATTATAAGCCATGCAGTTGCGTTTACAATGTAACGTGATTTCCAGCTATGTAAAGCTTTTTTTGAACACATGTAAAAAACTGTTTACTTATAAGAGCAGAATTGCACTAATTCTCTATTTGCAGTATTACTTATTTTTGAATTAGGTTAAAATTAATCCTAAATATGTAGTATGTTAAATAATGCCTGATTCCTCACTGAGGCCGGTCTGAATGGAAGAAAAAAATGCTAAATGATTTTTGTCAAGATAATAAAGTGCTGCTTATGTTTCCACCTAATTGGAAGTTAAAGCACAATTTCTAAAGTAAATGTATGCCTTCTGGACATTATGACAGTTCTACTGTGGGAGTTTCTATTTGTGGCTAATATATATATATATATATATATATATATATATATATATAAAAGCTTTAATAATAAAAATACATTTATAATTTAGAATGAAATATTCTTGATATTTCCAATAATAATAATATTGTATTTTTATTGTAATTTTAATCATATTATTAGCTAGAACAATTCTAATATGAATGCATATGAATTTATATTGCATATTAAAAAGCACAATCTTGTTTTATTTTAGGTTGAACCCCATCGAGAGCTCATGCGTCCATCATGCTATGATGTAATTGTTGTGCAATACGTGATGCTCGAGCGTGTCATTAATGTAGCGCGCGCCTTTCCATGCAAAACATATTTACCGTTGACGAGAGTTTAATATGTTTAAATGAAGCCGATGTATTAAATAGTCTTACTCTAATAAACTGTCTTACATTATTTCCATGATTTCTGTTGCTGTTGTTGTTCTGTTGACGTAATGTCTGCTCTTGGACGAATATCGTGCGTTTTTCACCGATAGAGGGAGTCGTTTGCCTTACAAATAACTTTCTACAACCCTGTGATTGACTTTGTATGCACACTTTTGGAGTGCTATTTAATAAATAAAAAATCCTTTTCTTCTTTATTCGCTTTTTATATCGTTATTGATAGTCTAATACTGCGTGTATATGGATGTAGCCTACATTTTTTGTTTTAAAAATATATTCATATGTTACAATGAAATGGGCAGGAGTACAACTACTGTATTTTTATAGGACAGGAGTACAACTATTTTATATTTATATATATATTTTTTTTTACATAATAAGCACACACATTTTAAACAAAATGTTTATACCCTTAAAAAAGTAAAGGTTCTTTATTGACATCATGGGTCCATGAAGCACCATTAACATCCATGGAACCTTTCCATTCTTTATTGACATAGTGGTTCCAAGTAGAACATTTAACATCCATAGAAGCTTTCCATTCTTTATTGACATAGTGGTTCCAAGAAGAATCTTTAACATCCATGAAACCTTTCCATTCCAAAAAAGTTTGTTTTTTAAAGTGGAAAGGGTTCTTCAATCTGATCTTTACACAATTTAAAGAACTGTTCATTGAAATGTTCTTTAAGGAACCAAAAACTGTTCTTCTGTGGCATTAGCCTACTGCAAAAACCCACTTTTGAAAAATTTCATTTTAAGTGTAACCACAGAAGTTATCACCCTATTTTGACTTGATAAAATAGTTTTGTTTAAAAACCATTCGGTTGCGAGAGAAATCCCGGCCATTAATGGCATACATTCTATTAAAATAATCCCTTACTTGGCTACATTATAACGCTCACAGAGAGTATTACTGTAAATAACAGTGAATAAGCCTGCCCTTCTGATTTGTTGCGGGGCTGAGAGGGATTTAAACGTGGCTCCTCCCTCATGAATAGTGGGTGGGGCCTGATATACCTAAACAGATGGGATCCGAGCTTTGTCTCCAGGCTGTCAGTGTTATACTCGACAGGAGCTGTGAGTGTTTCTCATCGCGTGCATCATCTCGGTTCATCAAAGAGCTCGAGCGCTGCATTGACAGCCTCGTCATACAGACAGATCGTCGGGTTTAAGCTGTCATCCTGATGGTGGATCGAGCCGCAGTGTTGTTGCTCGAAAGAGGAAGCTGAGAAGGAACAATACCGACGGTTTGGGAGCGCAAGCCTGTGTGTCGTTGGCAAGTGAATATCAGTTTTCATACGCGCTCTGTCAGCGCCTTGTTGCAGAGGACAACAAACGACAGTCTCTATAGACGCTCAGTGTAAAAACCAGCAATGCCGGGGTTCGACTACAAGTTCCTGGAGAAGCCCAAGAGACGCTTTCAGTGTCCTCTGTGTAGCAAAGCAATGAGGGAACCCGTCCAAGTTTCCACATGTGGACACAGATTCTGCGATACCTGTCTGCAGGAATTTCTCAGGTAAGGAAACGTATTTGAGAAACGTATATTTGCGTCAGTAATGACACTACGCACAACCAACCTTGTAAGTTAAGCAGTGGAGTGTATTCGAGTTTCGTCATTCATCGTTTCAACACAGGGCAGTCAGTCATATTTGTGCTACAGTTAACATTTTTATTTCTGCCCGAAGGCCTTGAGGTGATTTGGCGGCCAATAGGATACTAGTAACTGGGGGGTGTTCTGAATGCAAAATGTATTGCAAATTTAGTTAGTTGCTGTTTAGTGTCACGAGACATAAACTGACAGATGGGTGTGTATGGGAGGGAAATTTAAAATTAACCATTTATTTAGAAACAGAGAAGACAGGTGTGTTTACTGTTTAATGAAATACTCCTATCAAAATCTGCACTGCAACATAAGCAAAATAAGAGCAGGGCCATCACTAGTCACATTCAGAAAATTCAGAAAACAAGTACGCCTATAGCCTAAGTGTGGAGACAATATTTTGAATATTTTTCCTTGAGCCTGTCCATTTGTGGTCTACCTTTATAAACTTGGGAGAAAAATATTTTCAGACGTGTGTGTGTGTGTGTGTGTGTGTGTATTCAGGCATTAGAGACCCTCAGGTCTGGCCCTGTCTGTCATTTTGACCTGAGGCACTAAGACTCTTTGAGGGGGGGCAGCCAGTCTCAAATGTGGGATTGGGAAGCAGAACCTTTATTGGAATCAGTGTGCTGTTCACGCAGCACTAATTTGTGTTAAATGTGATTTGTTTGCTAGGTCATGTAGAAATGACTTGATGCATTAAACAGACATGCTCAAATTTAATAAAAAGTAATGTAAAAATAACATTACAAATAAAAAAAAAACAAACTCTGCTGCAGTTTTAGTATTTGTCGACATGTATATTAAACATTGGTTTTATAGCTTTAAGTTTCAACTACCAGGAAATTCAAAACAGTTAACAGTTATAAAGCAGGAGTGCCCTTTAAATGACTCTTCACTACCAATTGTGTAATGTTGTGCAATATCATAATCATTTGGCTACTTATTTGCTTGGGGAATACCATGATGACACTGTAGACATGACATACTAAATGTTTGACAGCTGAGATACTCATTTTCACCTGTGGCATTGACAGCATTAATCATTCATAAAATAAATAAGAGAAAATATGAGAAAATAAGCTGGAGTGTTGGTACTGACTGGACTATTTATGGACCTTTATGGTTGTTATGCTCTTTTGCTCAGCAGGCTGTAAAAACAGTAATATTATGAAATATCATTGCAATTTAAAATATAATTTATTCCTCTAATGCAAATCTGAATTTTCAGCATCATCACTCCAGTCTTCAGTGTCACATGACCCTTCGGAATTAATTCTAATTTGCTGATTTGCTGCTCAAGAAACATTTCTTCTTATCGATTTTGAAAACGTTTTGAGTAAACCATGGCAGATTTATCTATTATTTCATACCAAAATCTTTTTAAAAAATATTCATCAATTTAATGTGTCTGAATAAAATCTGAATAAAATTATTCATTTCTTTAGAAAATTCTAATGTAAACACAAACCTTTGAACAAGGTGAGTTATCAGCTTACGTGGGCCTGATTTGGCCTGTGGGAAGCCAGTTGAATAGGATGTCAGTGCAAATGCCTTCATAAATGTTGCACACTAACAGAATATCTTTGTATTTATATTTAGAAAGTTGACAGATCGTTGTCTCATGCCAACACTAATATCTGGACACAGCAGAGAAACTTGAGTGCGTGAATTGATTTTTTTGATATACACGATCAATTCAACACTGAACAATAGCAACAAAGGCACAATACGAGTCACAAAGATCTTATCTATTTTTTTCACATGTCCAAACAGGTTTTGGTTCTTTCCTGTCTGCTTGTTCTGGAGTATAATCAGAACTTGTGCTGATGCTGCAGTGAAAGATAAGAGGTTTCGGGTTTGCATCTCGTTCAGATTACAGTGAATGCAATGTCCACTATAGATAGACACTCATAGAAACTGAATTATCATGTACGTTTTGGGATATTGGGAGGAAGAAGGAAGCATTTTGCCTAAGGCTCTGTGTGTTTGTGTTTGCTCTATTCTCAGTAAACCTCTTTCCTCTCACGCCTACTTAGGAGAAAGATCCTTTTAGAATACTATGAAGCTTTGCTCAGTTTTATTTTCTCAGGATTGCTTGAGATAATGCAAATAAAAGACGTCTCATGTAAGACTAAATGACAGCAGACAACGCTTATGAGTCATTGGGTCATTAGTGTGTCACCGTCAAGAAATCTGATCTACTAAGTAACCTTTTTTCTTTACCAACGTATGTCACCAGATAATGAGTGACTTTTTAACACTAGTTAAAGCTACGATTAAAGCTACTTGATTAAGCATTTTTAAAGGGACTAGAAGCACAAAATGCAGTTTCTTTTTTATAAAGGTCTTTTGAGAATTTGAGAAGTGATTTGCATTAAAACTACAATAATTTGAACCCCCACAACGCAAATAATTTATCTAAATCAGTGGTTCACAACCAGAGGGCTGGGCCCAGAGAGCCTCAACAATATGCAAGGAGACCTCAAGATTACCCGCCCATTCTCATCCCTCATATATGGCACATATATACGCAGATACAGTATATATGGGCCAGAAGGCGCCTCCTAGTGGTGTAACCATAACCCTACCCCAGAACTAAACCTACCCATAACCGAAAAAAGCTCTGTGCGTGTTATATTGACGCTGAAGGGCCCTAGGATGAGAATGCGTTGAGATTACTTGAAATAAAGCCTGTGCCCACTGTATGATTTATAATAGACTGTATGAACATGATCCCCACTGTAGCCACTGTAGGATCTCAGTCGTCAGTATTAATGTCGACTGTACGACTGTCAAGACGCGTTAAATACGCGTGTACACGCGTACGAAAACTCATATGGAGTTTACATCATCAATCCATGACATGTTCGGTGACTGAGTGGCATTACATGCGCAATTTAGGGTGTGTTCACACTAGTTCAGTTTGCTTTAGTTTGGTCTGGACCAAAAAAAAAGTAGGCCTTCTCATTGTTTGCTTAGCGTTCATTTTAGCATTTTAACACAGAACCTAAAGGCATAGGGAAGGGACTCATGAAGAGCTTCTAAAATGTGTAGTCAAAACAGCGGCAGGAATCTCTCTGTCAGATCTGCTTCGACGAGACGCGGTTCTGTTGCCTGTACTGAACTGTGATGTTTAACATCGCGTCTATGATGAGAAAAAAAAAGTATGATTGAACATTCTGTCCATTTTAGGGTCGCATCTTGTGACATCAGATCCCGTTTTTGGTTTGTTTACATGTCTTTGGTCTGTGTTGTGTTCATGTTTCATTTCAATCGCGCCAGAGTTTGTTTGGAAGCAACTTTTTAGCGGTCTCTGTCCACTTGTTTGGTGCACACCAGGGTCCAGATGGCAGGGTTCACACTTATTCAAATGAACCGCACTAACAAGGCGAGCAGATTTAGTTTAAATTGAACCAAACTTGCCAAGTGTGAGCACACCCTTAAATGGTGCACAATGATTTGAAAACAAAAACAAGTTCTAGCGTTAATTTTTATCCTGGCTCTTGTCTTGAAAAGAAAAATGTAAAAAAGCGAAGGCAATGTGTGTGGAGCAAGTGGTGGTTTGTGGATGTCTCACTAACTGCATCATCAGGTTCTGCACTCCTATTGGTTTTTGATTTGACGGTTGTCGTAGGAGAAACCACACGGCAGGACTGTGCGTCGAATCTTCTGATACTGCCAGAATCTGCTGTCGGTGAACATGTCGAACTAGCGATCAAAGGCTTCAGGTTTTGGCCTAGGATTAGAGGAATATTTTAAGATTCTTAACATTTGTCTCAGACGGCCAAATCGTACAGTGTGCACCCAGCTTAAGACAAAACAAGACCAGTGTTGGATATCTGGAGGAGGTAGATTAAAAGTGTGATTTATAGACCTGGAAATGTCTTGTAAATTATTAAAATGTTATAATATATTATTATTATTATTTCCAAGCTTATCACTGGTGGGCCTTGGAGTCAAAAAGGTTAATAACCCCTGATCTAAACATTATATGCAGACTGATCTCATGAAGTAGCGTGTGTATGACACGCCAATTCGTATTTCCATTTTTGGCGTGCTATCAAGACGCATAATCGCTTTTCAGCGTGTTTATGAACGCCGTTGACTTAACGTTATTACCGTATATATAAATATATGACTTACCTCAACCCCGTCTCTAAACCTAACCGTCACTGGGGTTAATGGCACTTATGACTGTTCCCTTACCATCCTAGGAAAAAAAAAAGATCGCTCCCTAGATGTAGATGTACATTTTGCTTCGTTTTGCTCTGACATTTGACAGCGTGTACAGACACGCGGAATCACTCGGACGTTAATGCCGTAGACATACACGCATACACGCGGATAGCTCAAAATGCCTAGAGACTTGAAAGTGGCGTGTATGTTTACGCAAAAGTGATGATGTCATGTTGCGTTGAATTATTTTGAAGTAGATGGTCTATGAGTAATTGTGATGATCAGAATCACAAACTCAAAAGGCAGATCGTCAGGATAAGTCTGTGCTTTGTTGACATTGCGTGATAACAGTGTGTTTACTTCTTCCTTCTTGTGTACAGTACACATTCAAAGTTATTCCATCCGTTATTTCAGTCAGCCTCTGATCAGTTCAGACCTGTCGTCACTTTAGGAAATGTTGCTATATGTGCAAAGATTTTCATGGGTTATGCTCTTGCACAATAAAACCCAACTATGAATCATCATCTGCTGCATTCTAACCATTATTGGAAAAGGGCCTCCAGCTATTTCAGGTTGAGTCTCACGCGACGTGTACACCTATAGACTTGCCCCTTAAAACTCGATTCAGGTCTGAATCTGAAAGCATCGGATCTGTCCCATTCATGGCAACACTCTTTGACTGTTGGCTATTTACGTTGTAAATGGAGCGTGTTTCCGCTGAAGAAGGAATGTGTGAG